TTGGGGGAGGACTTAAGGGTACCAGTAAGGAACCCTAAGGGGCTAGTGAAGGGTTGTTTGAGAAAGTGGCATTTCTCCTGAACAACTGTTCCATGGTTTTCTACTTAATCATACTGACCTGCTTCACTTTGGCTGCTAGGAAGTTAAAAGTCAAATTTGTGACCCAGCTGTAGAAAGGGTGTAGGATTTGGGATCTAACTTAATTTCTGATTGATTTATTTATGGAAAAATTTTTTTTCCAAATGCCTGCTCTGTGCTGGGACCAGCAAGGCACTGGACATAGGACACCGTATCAGAGAAACAGGCCCTGGACCTCAGGAGCTCGTCGGTAAGTGGGAGGGCTGGCCAAGGAAACAAACCACTAGGATACAGTTTGTAAGCCCCCTCCTTGGGGAAGCCCAGGAGCAAGAATGGAGGAGAAGTGCTGACTGCAAGTTGGGGGGAGGCTGTCCAGAAAAATTACTTTGGGGCAGTGAGGCCAATCTGAGATGTGACAGTAGCAAGACAACGGGGAGGGATACTCCAGCAGAAGATCCAGATGTGGGTAGGAGAACAGGCATGTTCAGGGAACCGGAGGGTCTGGCATAGCTAGAGTGTGGGGTAGGTCATGTGGCCAGAGCGGTAAACTGAGGCCAGCTTGTCCGTAGCCTTGTAAACCAAAGTGTGGTTTTGACTATTCTGAAGGCAATGGAGTGTCACTGAGGAGAAAAGTTCCTGTCCTTATTTTTCCTTTGTCTTATTTTTCTCTTATATTTTACACATACACACACATGGCCTTAATCCTTTCATGATCAAAGTGAGTGTGTAACCAACTAATTTACTAAATAACATCATTAAAGACAACTAGCTCAAGTGAGGAAAATCCAATATAACACATTCATACTGAAATAATATACAGCCAATAGGAAAGGAGATAGACATATGCACAGAGTGTCTCTTGAAATATACACAAGAAACTGGTAATAGTGGTTGCCTCTGGGAGGAAAACTAGCTGGTCATGGAAGAGAAATGAGAGGGAGGCTTTAATTGTACATTTATTCCTTTTTCCCTTTTGAATTTTGTTCTATTTACACATTTTTTAAAAACTAAATAAAATTTAGTTTTGGAATAAATAGCCCCAACCTGGGAAAAAGGTACAGCAAATTCAAGTCAATAGTTGCAGTCTCTCTCCTGCCCTGTTGCTCACCCAATCTATCAGAAAATCAGACTAAGATGACAGCAGAGCAACGTGAAAGTGGAAAAAGTCAGTCCAGAAGCCTTGGTGAGGACACAGTTCTGCAGGTGTGGAGCTGGTAGAGCAGGAGGACTGAGGGAACCATCACATGTGTGCTCAGCAGGGCGTTTATTCTTCTCAGCCTTGGCCTCATCATATGTAATGCAGTAATGATGCGTTTGCATCAGAGGCAGCAATGGGAATGAAATATGTCAGATGCTCGTTATTAAAAGGTAAAGAAGACTGTCCCTCATACAGGAACTGAGACACAGCAACATGAAATAATCTCAAAGAGATTACAATCTGGGGTGCAGGAGACAGACAAGTAAATAGGCAACTTCAGCACCCTGTGGTGTGTTAGGGTGAACCTCGGGTGCACCTTGGCAGGGATGGCAGGAGGGGTGCAGTCTCCAGTTGGGTTCCAGTCTGAGATGGGCTTCTTGTGTAAGTGAACAGTTGAGGAATGCTCTCGGGAGAAACCTATAAGGAAATTATGGGGCAGAAAGAAGCTAGACGAGAGGTGTTTAGCACAGGGGTTGGCAAACTTTGGGCTTCAGACCAAATGTGCATTTCCATAAATAAATAGTTGTATAGGAACACAGCCACACTTATGTTGTTTATGTATTATCTATGGACACTTTTGTGCTATGAAAACACAGTTGAGTTGTTGTGACCAGGACTGTCTGGCACACAAAACCTAAAATATTTGCTGTCAGGCCCTTTAGAGAGTCTGACCCTTGGTTTAGCTGAGTCTAGTAAACAGCATAGCAGAATTGATCCTGCTGAAGACAAGGTGCCTGGCCTTTGGTACCCTTGCACAGGCTGACTTCAGAGAGCCCCGGTCTTGTGGTTCAGGAGAGTGGTCCCAGCTGGAAATATTAATTTGGGAATCATCAGACTATAGATGGTATTTAAAATTTGGTATTTAAAGTCTGGTGTTCAGAGTTTGAATGAGATCATGTAGAGCATAATTAGAGATGAAGGAAAGATATTTTGAGCCCTGGGGCATACTGGTGTTTACAAGTCAGGAAGAGGAGAGGATCTAGGAAAGGAGACCCAGAAGGTGAGGCCTGTGAAATAGAAAAATTGAGAGCAAGTGATTTCCTACAAGCCAAGTAAAGACCGTGTTTTGGGGAGGGAGTAACTAGTTGTGACAAATGCTGTTAGGAAAGTGGTCAGTATAGGAGCAGGATTTGGGGGCAGTATGCCTGCACCCAGGAGCTCATAGGGATCTGTGAGCTCAAGGTTGGGAAGAGGAGTAGCTCAAATATGCAAACACACACACACACACACACACACACACCCACACACACACACAAGCACTCACGACATGCATGCACAGCCACACTGGTATCTTTATCTGGTACTTGTGAGGCTAGGCTGGTACACAGAGAAGAGGTCTGGGAAGAGAGGTTAATTTTTAACAAGAACAGTTTCAGTGGAATTACATGAGCAAGAGCCTGAATGGGTTCAAGAGAGAGGGAAGAAATTGGACTCAGCAAGTATACAAACAATACTTTCCAGGAGTTGTGCTGAAAAGGGGCACAGAAAAGTAAGTGAAGGGGCAGCCAGAGAATTATGTACAGTCAAGAGAGGGGCTTTTTGTTAAGATGGGAGAAATTGCATCATGCTAGTGGAAATGATCTGGTGGAGAGGGAAGAACTGATGATACAAAAGGGGAGAACTGTGAGAGTTTTATGGTTTCATGTCTTATATTTAGGTCTTTAATCCATTTCAAGTTTACTTTTGTGTATGGTGTTGGACACTAATCCAGTTTCATTCTCTTGCACATAACTGTCCAATTTTCCTAACACCGTCTATTGAAGAGACTGTCTTTTCCCTATTGTATATTCTTATTCTTGCCTTCTTTGTCATTTATTAATTGACCATATATGCATGGGTTTATTTCTGGGCTCTCTATTCTGAGTGACATTCTTGAGTTGATGAGAGGATGTGGTGCTTGGAGCACTGAGGATAGTCTGCCCACAGTGTAGGAAAGAAGGCAGAGCTTCTGCAGATAAAAGTAGGTTGATGGATCTGTGGTGGGAGCTTCAGAAGTTCTCCTGATAGCTTCTGCTTTCTCAGAGGAAACAGGAACCAAGACCATTCGTTGAGACAGAGTCTGGGGGAGGAGATGGTAGAGGTTTCAGGAAGGAAAGGGTAAAGTGGTCATCCAAAGACTGGCTGAGTGAATGGCTTATTTTTATACCTCCTGCAGCATCTTCATTACTTGGGTGAGCATGTTCTCAGTGTCTGCCAAGTCCCAGGCATTTTGACTGAATGCTCCTTAAAAGAATGTGTGGCTATAGAGCACCTTTGAACACATCCCAAGCATGTTTTAGATTTGGAACTGAGTGTGGCTTGGGTAGCCTGCAGAGTAGAAGTGGTGGGGATCCCGACTGGAAAGAAGCCAGGAGCCTCTCTTATGGGTCACTGCAGGATCCTCCAAACTGGTTTTTGGGAATCTATTTGTTTGAGTCATTTTCCTGAAATATAAATCTGATCATGTCACACCTTTTCTTTAAATCCTTCAAAGAAGAGATACAGAACTTGTGACAAATTGCTTCTAGGGAAGCAAGCAGAACACTGGAGTACAGGAGCAAGTATACCCTTGTGTTGTGTTTGGAGAAAAAATATTAACCATGTGCATGTATTTACTATTCAAAGAAAAATAAAACCCCCTCCTCAAAAAATTATCTATGGCTTCCCACTGCCCTTAGGAGGAAAAAAATCCTTAATTTGGTCTATAATGCCCTGCATGGTTGGCCATGTTGACCTCTCCAGCCTGGTCTCAAACTCTCCCTCTGGTTGGCTCTCTCCAGGGCAGGCTACACTGGCCTTCCAGTCCAGCGGTGCTAGGCTTTTCCTGGGCCTTTGCACAGGCTTTTCTTTCTGCCTCACTCATTCTTACTCCCACCTCTCCCTTTTTCTCTTCCCACTCTCTTCCCTTTCTTTGCCAGTAAACTTCAGGTCTCAACCTTAAAGCCACTTTTTCAGGAAAGACTTCCTTACCTGCATCCCCAACCCCCATCAGACGTGGTCACTCCCCTCACTGGGCGCTCACTCCCCGGCACCAGGCCCCCCAGCGGACAGCACTTAGGAAAATCATGATGAGGTGTAATCAGCTGATCAGTTTGCCTCACTTCGTAAGTAGACCTAGGAGAGAGTCCCTTGGGGCCCAGCAGAGCATGTGGCACACATTGGGTGCTCAGTGAATGTTAGCTGGATGAAACTGTACGTCTCTGGGCCCTCGTTCATCTAAAGCCACCGCTGTCAGGACAGGTGTGGGGAAAAGGAGCTGGATGAGGAAGGAGCCGGTGAGGAGTCACTTTCTTGGCCTTGCCTTTCAGAGGCCCGCGGTGGCAACTGCCGGCGTCCCTTGGTGCAGAGGGCGCGGAGGGGGGAGATGGGTTGGGGTCGCACCACAGGAACCATGAGCATCATGCTCACAGGGTTGGACGGTTCAGAGACGCCGTGGGATGATCCAGCCTCCTCTAGAAGGCTGTTCGGAAAGCGGGCTGGGGCCAGGCGGTGGATTTGCCAGGTGTGATTCCAAAATCAGTCTCTTCCCCCTCAAGAGAGGAAGCTTGGACCACCGGCTGTAACAGACGCTGAGAGGCAGAGACGCCAGAACCCGCTCGGTCTTGAAGACCTGCGCTGCCCAGGCGTCGGCACCGGGGAGACTAAACGACAGCCGCAGCGGCTGGAACTAGTTTTTGCCCCGCGCCTGCGCACTCGGGGCCCCGCCCCGGGGAGGGCCCGCGCGCCAGCTCCGCCCCCCGCCTCTGCGTGCGCACCGCCTTGAGCCCGCCTCCATGAAATACTGCCGGGCGCATGCGGCTCGGGTGGTTCAGTGGCTACCCGGGTCCCAGTGTTCGCGTTGCTCCCCTTGCTCCTTAGCAGACGACAGGATCAGAAGCCGGCCTCAGGTAAGCTGACTCCAGGGATTCCCGGGGTACTGTTCTCCCGTGCAGGTATCGGCGGCGCGAGCTGAGCCCGGCGCCGGACAGCCACACCGCTGGCTGACAGACACCGCTCGCACCAATCAGGGTGAGGTGACTCGCCGGCCTGCCCAATGGGCTGTGTGCCTAACTGGCGTGGGGCGGGCGGCCAGACCGGCGAGAAGCCGGCTCCCGCGCGAGGGGCCCCGTGGCCGGGCGCTCCGGGAAGACTGGCCGCAAGGGGCGTCGTGGGGCGGCGGGAAAGGCTGTGGGTCTGGGCTGCGCGGTCCGGTAGCGTCCATTCAGCGCGGCCTAGATCGGCTGACCGAGGCGCCTGGGAGGGCACGTGGGACCGATAGGACCGTAGAGACGCGGTAGTCCCACCGGCCAACCCTCCCCGAGCAGCCCTGGCGGCTGCCGCTGCATTCGGCCTGCCCCAGGCCACCCCATCCCGCTTCAAGCACGGCCTTAGCGTTACCAGGAGGCGGCTCAAGGTCCGAGACAGGCCTGCTGCGGTGGGGGATGGTAAACTGGCCGAGGCCCCCCTCGGGCGCGCCCCGACTCCCGTGGACGGGAGGGGCCTTGCAGTTAGCCGCGCCCACAGCCCCGCGTTGCAATCCTCACGGCTCCACAGTAGGCCCTCCGCTCCCAGCTCCCCAGACCGGAGTGAGGATGCTGCATTTTAAAGTTATCCTTGTTTGCATGGCGCACTTAACGTCCACACTCATAATTTTGAATCTTCAGCAGTGCTGTGACCCAGACGATGCAGGTGATTCGCATCCCGATTTCATGGAAGGAAGGACCAGGCTTCAGGCAGCTGAAGTGACTTGATAGGTCTCAGGACACAAGTGGTGGGGATGAAAGTGGATCTCATACATTTAACAAGAAAAAGCTTTTTTTTTTCATCTTGAATTCTGTCGCATTTTGATTTATGTTACTACTGTTTGAAAACCTTCCGGTGTCTCCAGCACCTTCAGAATAAAATTCAGATTGGGCATTCAAGCTTCCATATATGCTTTCTCCCCTTGCCTACATTTCCACACGGTTTCTCACTGTCTTCCCCTCCCCCACCACCCTTCTCCACCATCTTTTTCTTGGCCCCTCTTCTGTCTTCTGTAGATAGCCATCACCTTCCTGCTCACTGTGTCCTGTTTCCCATGCTTCAGGTCACGCAGTCAGTCCAGGGCCCACTGCAAGTCTCAGGTCAACAAAGCCGGACCCTGAATCCTCTCCCCTCCCAACTTCTCTCACCTTCCTCTGCTGGGTCTTGGCCGTTCACCCTGGGCTTGCTGCTGAATGCCTTCTGCCCTCCATTCCCCGTTTGTGGCTTCTACTTCCCGCCATCACTGGATTACTCATTTATCTGTAAATGTTTTGTCTCTGTAACTGGACTGCTAGCAACTTGACGTATGGGCCCAGGTTTGATTGATGTTGTGGCTCCCAGAGTGCCTAGCACAGCAGTACTGCCACAGTGAAGGTGAGTGGCTGAGCCCCGTGAGCCTCCCTGACCTGGCCCATGAGCACATTGGGGTATTTATTGCCGGAAGTCTGCAAGAATGAATCTTCCCTACAGAGAGGTGTTATTACCCTCTTAAGAGTAAAATTGGAACAAATCAAATGCAAATAGTTGAAGTGACTCTTCCATAGAGTAACCTGCTCTGTAACCCACTTGGGGTGGCTGAGGAATTTCTAGGAACATCTAAAATTCAGTCTGGGAGACCAGGGTATAGGTTCAAGGATATGTCTGCGTAGGACATATCTAAAATGTAGCCAAGTCTGGTATTCATGTGTTATTAAGGAACGTTCAGCTGTGAGCTGACAGAGCAGTGTTTCCCCCAAATATTAGGAACTTGGGGTCAAATGAGTTTGGGGAAACTGCATACTGTATACCCTTCTGGGGAGATGGCAGTGCATGTCAACTTATTAAAGGCTCCCAGAAGTCTCATTAAATAAACCAACTGAGTGTATAACCAGTATTTCTTTGATTTATCTATCCATAAATCCCTTTTTGGGGATCCCAAGTACATTTTGCAGAAACCAGAGAGCAGGCTTTTGGGAATGTTGCCATGGGTCAGGTGTCTTCCTTGCTGTCTGAAGGGAAGTCATTCTGAGCACTCTTAGGTCTTTGTCTCGAGTGTGTTCATTCCTGCCCTGGGAGGAGAATGCTTCAAGCAGATCGCCCCCACCTCCTTGTTCTCCTCCTTCCTTTCTTAAGCTTATTTTTATTGTAATTTGGCTGCACATGAAGTGTTTCTGGAGGAGGAAAATGCCCTGACCCTGCCAAAGCAAGCATTCTCTTCCTCTTGGTGATTGTGTTTCTCATTTGGATCACATTTGGGTTTTCTGACCAAATGGTTTCTGGGGCTCTGGAACTGGGGGCCAGTGATCAGTTCTCCCTGGTGAGCCTGTTTCTCTGCTGTTTGTGCTGTTCTATGGTGTTCCATCCACCCCTTTTATTTCCCGTCATGTCTCTTCCACCCCTTGCCACAACCCACTGCTCTTTGGGTTTAATCTAATCAGTCCTGTCTTTGCATCCTCTGCCCATTATGTCCTTCATCCCAGTTTGTTATCTGATGTCCCTTTCCTTGTCTGTGTCTCTTCATGGCATTTCTGGGAGAGAGTGCTGGCCAAGAGCGACTTACTACTAAATTACAGAAGAATTACCTTTAAGAAAAAGATGTTTAGGTTTAACTGCGACTCCTCTTAAATGTTGAAGTTCTTCTGTTCATTCTGTCTTCAGTAGCCTGGAGAAGCTGTGTTTTCTTGGTGATACAATCGTATTTAGCCAGAGACATTTTCCCTTTCTCTGGAGATCACAGTGCTCACCCAGGATTGAATCTGTTTCCCCATGCAGCGGAATAGTGAAGCACCTGCTCGGTGTCCCAGTCCTGCTGGTCCTGCTGGCCATGTCAGCTAACACTTGGCAGAGCTCTGGTTTTCGTTTGTTTCTTTTTTCCTTTTTTCTTTTCAGGTTGACTTTCAAGATTGTTAGTTGTCAAAGCTCTGAACAAAAGCCGCCTTATTTGATGAGCAGTTATTTTCCAACTCATTGACCAAAGCCTTTCAATGATCAGGAAAACGTTTGTTAGAAACTGCTAAAGCCACGCGACAGGGAAACTGAGGCACCTAAAGGGTGCACAGCTACCATGTGGCAGAGCCAGCATTTGAACCCAGATAAGCTTGATTTGTTGACATTTATTTATCTGTAATTTTTCTTCCAGGTCAAAAAGCAAAATGAAGTATATTCTAGTTACTGGTGGTGTTATATCAGGAATTGGAAAAGGAATCATCGCCAGCAGTGTGGGCACAATACTGAAGTCATGTGGTTTACACGTAACTTCAATTAAAATTGATCCATACATTAACATTGATGCTGGAACATTCTCTCCTTATGAGCATGGTAAGCAAAATGCACTCTTTCTTCTTTAAAAATAATAATTGCATAGTACGTGGAGGAACATGTCAGCCCTTGGAAATTGTGTGTATAACATAACTTCCATGTCCTGCCTTCTGAAAAGGTCCTTAGTGTAGCAGTGTGGTGCTTTCCTCACCCAGCCCGAGAAGCTGCCGAAATCTTAATAGGCAATATAGTGATAGAGTGTAGAGGTTTCTGTAATAGAACTAATGGAAATGAGTTTGGTGCCAGAATGAAAGTTTGTCCCTTTTCTTGAAACAAAGAAATCTGGCGACATAATAACTTTCTCTAAATACCTGAGAAGAGGGATTATCTGTATTCTTTGTGGCTCCCATCTTTAGCTGTAGGATTGGGGGAAAGAAGTAAGGAAATTAATTTTGGCCAGGTATAAGAAAGGTCTTTATAATAAGCAAGTGCTCTCCAAGAGTGGGGTGACCAACTTAAGAAACTGGGTTCCTTTCAGTAGTGGTATTTAAACAGGGGCTAAAGGACCACTTTGTAGGACCACACATAGATACTGGGCTTGGGTGATCTGTAAACCTGAGATTCTGTTTTGCTAACAGTAATAGAAACAAGCAAATTTCAGATGAGTGAAAAGTTGAACCCATTAAAGAAGGTTAAGAAAGTAGCACTTTGCTTGTTTGTTATTGCCCAGTATTTATCAACAGTATGATGTATACCCATGTTTGAATTACCTAACAGGTTACTTGCTCAAAACTGGGGATAGATGTACTGTAGAATGTATGTCTTAAGTTTTAAGGATGAGTGTCTTTAGAGCAAAAGTCCTTACATAATAAATACTGTCAGGAAAACACTAACAAACAGAGCAATATTTCATACACAGTTCTTGAGCTGGGGACGAACTGTCTCTCCGAGGGGGAAAAATAAGACATTTTTTCCTTCCCTATTCTTGAGCTTGTCTTCTCTTCTGATGGTAGGAAGGAACCACTCTGGGCACATGTCTGGAATGATGTTTCAAGGAATGAATGTTAAACAAAGGAATGGGAGAAACTGCAGTTTCGCAACTTTGTTTAGGACTAAAGTATAGCCCATAAGCTAGATTTTATAATCAGCACGATCTTTTTATCTTGTTTATGTTTTGAATCAAATCATACTTGTCACACTTTAAACCTTTCTCTGCGCAAGTAGAAGACTGTTCAAGTTTCTTTCTCTTTAGGCAGCAGATAGCAGCCTTCTGTGAAATCCCATATATTTAAGCTGTAATTTCCTTCCATCCCATGCTACTTCCTAACTCTTCCTGCTCTGAGACTGAGGTTGTTGATAGACTTGAAGTATGCTATTACCTTTTTCTTCGTATCATTTTCTAGAAGGAAATTTCTCTGCTTCATATCAGAATAATGCAGATTTTGTCCTGTGGGAGTGTTTATATTTTGAGGCTGTGCCATATGGCATATGTATTTTTCACTCAGCCTAACCATTTTCATTGTTCACCACAGGTGAGGTTTTTGTACTGGATGATGGTGGAGAAGTCGACCTTGATCTGGGTAACTATGAGCGGTTCCTGGACATCCGCCTCACCAAGGACAATAACGTGACCACTGGAAAGATATACCAGTATGTCATTAACAAGGAACGCAAAGGAGATTACTTGGGGAAAACGGTCCAAGGTAATACCTGCGAGAGGTTGGATCTTTTTTCTGTCTTAAAGGTTTAAAAATCCTAACCGGTTTAATTTCTTTTTCATACAAAAATTTACTTTTGATGCAGTTTCAGCATGAAAGCATTGAGGTGTTGTACTGAAATATGCTTTCAGTTAAAAATTTTGGGTTGTATGGCTGTATACTTAAAAAATAATTTGAAGACACCTCCACTGCTCTGTGATTGGCATTGAAGCTGTCAGCCCAGTGGCCTGATTGGAGTCCAGAGAGGGGCTGTTTATGCAGTGATGAAGGCAACTAGATTAGGGCAGGAAGCCTCACTCTGTGTGTGTGCGCGCGTGTGCATGCATGTGTCCTACATGTGGACTTAACTGTGCACAGACAGTGATAAGGGAAGGACCGTCCACCGTGCGCATCAGCTCTCAGGCTGGTCACCTGTGTGTTTCTTTGCTGTGTTGGGGTTTGGCACAGTGTCTATTTGAGAAAGGTGCTGCTTTTAAAAAGGTGCTGGAAAACCACTGGTCTAGTGTAATGGTACAAGTCCAAATTTTAGGGCTTGCTGAACAGGGGCTTTCATCTGAGTGGAGAGAGGAAATGTGCTTTTGGCTTGAGGCTAGTGAACTGAAAGCTGAGGGTCACACTGGCAGCTGGCTCTGATCTGGGGCTGCCCTTGCCAGATTCTGGGGTAATCGGGTCACATTGAGATCTTAGCTTTGCCACTTAGCAGCTTTGTGAACGTGGGCAGATTACTAACCTCTGAGATCTGGTTTCCTTTTCCATAAAAGAGAGGTAATAACAGTACCCACCTCTCTGGTTGTTAGGGGATTAAAGGAACTAAGTCAATAAAGTATTTCTCTGAGTTCCTGACACGCAGAAAGGGATCAATCAGGAATTACAATGTTCTTGGTCATACAGTGTATTGTTCTAGGGCACTACTGCATTCATTTATTCATTCATTGACTACGAACTGCAGCCAGACCCTTGGTGATGTGGGGAACAGGTGACAAGACCAGCAAGGCTGGGCCCCCCGTGGGAGAGTCAGATGAAACAAGGGGGCTGGTGGGCGCCGTGTGGGAGGTGAACAGAGCAAGGAGAGAGTGGTGGGGAAAGCCAGGCTGGACAGGGAGCCAGGGTGAGTCTCTAGGAGAGGACATTCGAGCTGAGAGGCCAGCCATGGAAGAGCAGAGGAGAGGGCACAAAAAGCTGCAGAGGGCTTGGTCAGGGAATGGGGAGACTGCATGGCTGATGCCCAGTGATCAGGGGCATGGGTGGTTGGAGAGGAGAGGGCTGCAGCCAGGTGGCACAGGGCCTTCTGGGCCATGGCCTGGAGTTTGGATTTTACTCAGCAGTGGGAAGCCAATGAAGAGCTTAAACCTGGATTATGAGCTCTGATTTGCAGTTCTTTAAGAAAATCACTGTGGTTGCTCTATGTGGGATAGATAACAAATACTCCACTGCTTGTTATCTAGTGAGTTAAACCAGTAATCTTTGCCCCTTCGGAACTTGCTTGCTGAGCCCTAAAACTAAGATTGAGGTGTTCAGCAGTATAGCCTTTAGTGAGCGCTGACTTGGTAGGCACTCCACTTAGTATTTTACCAGTGTTACCATAAAATTTCTACCACTTTATCAAGTAGAAGCTATTATCTCCACTTAACAGCCAGGGAAATTGGGCTTCAGAATAGTTCAGTAATTTGCCCGAAGGTCCACACCTAATGAGCAGTAGAACTGAGATTTGAATCCAGACATCCTGGCCCCAGATGCTGTGTTCGTGACCATCTGCTATACTGTACTGTCTCTGTGCAGTGCATCCTTACCCTCTGGTAAACTGGAAGCTAATGGAACGGGGTCATTCCTGGAAGAGCACCTGGGTCCGGGTATAAAGTGCCCACCTTCTGCTGTAAGTGCTGGAGGGCAGCACGTGCCCTGTCGTGTTGTTGGGCACCCTGGGAAGACTCTGCCCAGGACCATGCACTCTGGTGTGGTCGGGATGCCCCCGGCCTTACACCCTTGCGGTGCTTTCAGAGCAACAGTCTGGGAACCTGGACAGGAGGTCACCGGAAGTGTGAGCCCAAAGATTTGGCAAGGCTGTTTCAGAGTGGTCTCAGAAATACTTTTATGACCCCACTGCTACCCCAGGCAGAGAGGACAGAAGTGTGTGGTCATGGTGCCCCCAGGGCTGACCAAGTGGGAGTAACATACTTCTTTGCTCTCTCCCAGTGGTGCCCCACATCACAGATGCCATCCAGGAGTGGGTAATGAGACAAGCATTAATACCTGTGGATGAAGACGGCCTAGAACCTCAAGTGTGTGTTATTGAGGTTTGTATGAGTCTTTTCTAAGTTCCATGATTCCTGCATTTGTGACCTGGTGTACAGCTCACCTCTTTAGTCAGCCATTGATAAGACAATGCGCAGGGAAGCCCTTGATCCTCCCATTGCACTGTGGCAGGGTAGTCATGTGGAATGGCTGTGCCATTGAAAGACATACTTTGTCCAAGTGGTTCTCGTTTTTCAGCACATATTCACTTGTGTGGACTGAACCAGTAAGAGTGACATGACACATGTTCATCTCTGGAGAAGGGCTGCCTGCCGACCTTCGGCTTCCCTCCGGCAGGGACGTTCATTGCTGTGCATGAGCCCCTCTTGCTTTCAGTTTCTGAGCTCCTGCTGTGCCGATCCCAGCTGGTGGATCTCAGTGTTCCTGTGAAAACAGGGGACTCAAAAATTCCAGCAGTTTGTTTATAACTGATGCTTTTTAATACAAAAATTATTTGTGGCCAAGTAGGTAAGAGTCAGGTTTCCTTGTTTTGTGACTCATACAATAGAATTCCTAGTGTATCTTCTTTTACTTGACTTTTTCTTAAAAGTGTAGAAAGATCCTTGATAACCTCGGGGAATGGCGAGCCGGTCAGAAAAAAAAAAACCTAGCACCAAGAAATGTCTTAATTCCTGTTAACCGACATTATATGGGCTCAAAGAGTCCACATTACACTGTTACTGACGACTGAATTGAGAGGACAGGGTGCAGTTGCTAGGAAATGGACCTGTTAGAGGAGGGTGTAGTGCTTAACCTCTAAAATCACTTTGTTCTTTTAGCTCGGTGGAACAGTGGGAGACATAGAAAGCATGCCCTTCATTGAGGCTTTCCGTCAGTTCCAATTCAAGGTGAAAAGGGAGAACTTCTGTAATATTCACGTCAGTCTAGTTCCTCAGGTAAGGCGTTCGAACTTTCACTCCGTGGGGATAGAGAGGAGGGAGAAAAGAAAGGAAGTTTCTCACCCGCTCTGTTAGGAAGCAGGGAAAAAAGAACTATTTAGTGAATTTGAAATTATTATAATGATACTTTTTCAAACTATCAAATGGAAAACATTTGGAAAGTTAATCAGGGAAATTACAGTGCAAGAAGGTAAATTGAACATGTCCGTTTTTCTTTACTACATGGTGAAGCCCCACAATTAGAGTGGAGGATTTTTTTTAAGATAAAAATTCACAAAGAGAAATACAATAATAGGAGTCAACAATAACAGCAGTTAGGAAGCCAGAAGCTGCTGAACATGTGGAAACTGACTTAGCGGACCTGGGAGAGCAGAATCATTAGGCTGCAGCAGGAAAGCAGAGAGGCAGCCTTGTTGGCCCTGCAGAGTCCCCAGGGACTGAGAACGGGCAGCGTCAGGCACCTCTGGCGGGGCGGTGAGGGTGGGGCTCATGATCATTGCTGTTGCAGATTCACTGCCCTAATGGGCACAGCTGAGCATCAGCCTTCTTTTGTCTTGGGAGAAGACTAGGCTTTTCTCTGGAGAGGGATTCTGGATAAGCAGATACAAGGGACAGTTGAACTGAAAACATGGGGGTTAAGTGTAGTTTTGTGTTGTTGAGACACCCTACCTTCTGCCACTTGGTTCCCAGAATCATCGCAACAGGCTCGGACCTTCCAAGTACGATTCGCCTCTGGGGTATATGACTAGCCCAGGAGAAAACACACTACCCTCAGAACTCCCCCAGTGAAATAGGTCAGCCAGATTCCCACAGGGAGGACCCTGGGGGACAAACCCATCCACTCACACAGAACTTGCACTTAGCTTTTAAGTATGAGCTGGCAGCCAGTGACCACCAGAGCTTTGGAGAAAGCAGCTAACATGCAAGAGATCAAAACAACAGAAACAAAGAAACTGAGAGGAACTTGAGGCTTTGCAGGGAGGAGGAGACCTAAACAAAAAGCAGGCTATCTTTACTAGCCTGAGAATTAAGAGGACATAATCTGCATCCACTAAACAGGAACTGAACACCCTAAAAAGGGAGCATTTAGATAACAGAAAAATTTTTGGAAATTAAAAATTGAATAGCAGATGTGAAAAACTTAAGGGAAGAGAAGTTGAGGAAATGCCCCAGGAAGTAATACAGGAAGATGAGCAGATAGGAACTAGAAAAGAAGAGGTAAGAAAATTAGAGGCTGGAATTAGAGGCGTTCTAACATGCAAATGATAGAATTTCCAGAAGATAAGATGAGAGAAATGGAGGAGGAAGTGTGTTCTGAACCCGGGATTAACAAAACTGCCTCACAGGCCAAATCAACCTACCCTCCCCACACCCCACCAGTTTTAGAAAATAAAGTCGTATGGAAATACAGCCATGCCCATTTATTTGTGTATGTCCATGGCTGCTTTTGTATTGAAACAGCAGAGTTTAATAGTTGTGACAGACTGTGTAGCCCACAAAACCTAAAATACTTATTATCTGGCTCTTTATAGAAAACTGTTCTCATCCTTTGGTCTAAACAATTCTAGGAAACTTCTAGATAAGTTTCTAGATTGAAAGGGCCCTCTGAATGCCTAGCATATCGAATGAAAAATGACCCAAAGCAAGGCACATCATTGTGAAATTTCAGAATAATGGGGCAGACATTCTAAAAGCCTCTGCAGAGAAAAATTGAGACTCAGTGTGGCCGGCAACTCCTCAACAGCACTTCTGGAAGCTAAAAGATAGTGAAGCTTGTTCCTTAGAACTTCTTAGGGAAGATTATGTCCAATTTAGTATTCTAGACCCAGCAAATCTATTCTTTAAGTGGGAGAGGAGAATAAAGATTATTTAGCACGTAGAAAACTCGCATACCAAACAAAACACCAACCAAGAAAAAACCAACATTTGGACTAGGAAGGGAAAGTGTAACGCATGGTTTAATAGTTGATGGTATTTAAATACTCAAAAATATGTCAACACTGAAGAGGGATCATGAGGTAGGGGCTGCGGGCGCAGTCTGGGTGCCCGTACAGTGGAAGGAGAGGGCACTCCTTGTCCAACAGGGAAACCGAGAGAAATGCCTCAAGCTAAGTTTGCAATAAAACAGGAGAATCACTTAAGAGTGGAAGGGCAGCTGTCTCCAGAGTCTGGAAGGGGAGCTATGAGGATGGATGAGCTTGTAGGGCTGTTTGACTCTTAAAACATATTCATGTGTGACATTGACGGAAATAAAAACTAGATAAATGATCAAATTATCCATTTCCCTGTTAAAAGGGGTTCAGGGAGTCATTGAAAATTCTTTATCCCAGAGAAATTAACTTTTTTTTTTTCCTTTTGTAAAATAGCCAAGTTCAACAGGGGAACAGAAGACAAAACCCACCCAGAATAGCGTTCGGGAACTCAGAGGGCTTGGGCTTTCCCCAGACCTGGTAAGGTGTTGTGGCCCCCTGGGGGAGCATGGTCTTATGGTCTTACTCTTCCAAGGCAGACACGTTTCCTCAGCCTTTGTTTCCTTGGCGTGCTTGCAGCTGATGGCGGAGAAGGTGTAGTGCTTTGACCTGGGGCGGTTTACAAAGATGTTGGTCCCTGCCATGCAGGAGGCTGTGTCTTCTTTCTTCTCGCCAGTCCTTTATTCTCCTTTTCCTTTACCCAAGGACAGTAATGCGGGGAAGCCCCAGTTGGCTGTTTTTGTTTCATTAATCTGTCTGTTCGTTTGTATTGCCATTCTTTTAAATTTCTCCAGTTTGGGATTTAGGACTGTCGGTTTTGAAAACAGGTAATTGTTTATGTGCATTATGTGAGGAGTTCACATTTTCATCCAGCTCAATGTGATGTCTATTTTAATTTCTATCCGGAGAAAAACCCAACTTGGTAGTGCCTGCCCTCTATCTAAATGTCTGATTTTCTCAATGCTAGGTTGTGTGTAGGTGCTCAAATCCTCTTGACACATCAGTGAAAGAAAAAATATCGATGTTCTGCCACGTTGAACCTGAACAAGTAGGTAGACATGCTGTTTTTACATAATCATTTTTTGCTTCTAATTATCCTGAAGTCTCTTACCCAGTTTCATGAGGTTTGTTGTGATTTTATAATTTGAGACAGTAAATGGTTCCTGGGAAGAACTGAAACCCATTGGCTCTGTGATTCTCCATGACCTTGGTTAGCTCTTGTGATTCCCTGGATGGACTTCCAGCTGTCCTGCCTCTTCTCTCCCCTCTCCTTGTGTGATTCGCCCCTGCTGAGTGGGGGTCCCTCTCTCCCTGTCTGGCAGCCGGACACACTATTGTCTGAGGAGCTTCCCCTGTCAAACCTCAGGGTTAGTCCTTATCTGGGTGACGTGTGTGACTCACAGGTGCTGATGGTGAGTCTGCCATACTGCCCCTTAGCGTGTGTGTGTGCATGTGTGTCCATGTGTGTCCGTCTGTGTTTGTCTCCCCTCCCAGACTTTGAGCTGCTTGAGGGCAATGGTCATCTTATATGCCTGATGCCTGGCATCTAAGGTATTGTAGGCTCTAAACATATTTTAGTCTTTTTTTAACTTGTGCTAATGGAGGGTACCTCTGGTACAGGAAGTTCAAAAATTTGGAACCTGTAACATACGTAAGCGTAGTGCACAGGCATAGACATTCTGGTGATGGTAAGTTGGGATTGGGGCTTTGGTTGGGTTTAGCTGAGAGAGTCGAAGGGAAGCTGAGGTCAAGGAATTTGTGGTTAGGAATTGGATGGTTTATTTGACTTCCTAGATTATTCGAGGGTCAGGAGACTAAGCAGGAGAGCCCAGCTGGCCTAGAGGGGAGAATGAAACAGCAGGGTTAAAATAAGGGAAGCCCATTTATAAGAAGCCTAGGAATACCGAAGTGAATATAAAATAATCAGAATCATTCGCCTGGCATCGAAGTGCACAGAGCAAGAGGAAGGCCTTTGACCATTGCAGAGGCTGTTGGCCTCTCCATGTCCATGACGGCACAGGCTCCCAGGTATGAGGGTGGCCTGGGGCTTGAGGTCAGTGTTCCCAGCTGTGATTCCTGCGCGAGGAGCTCCGTCAGAGGCACTCTGCCTCATCTGAAGTACAGATCTTCCTTGATTTAGGATGGAGTTACATCCTGGCAAACCCATTATTAAGTTAAAAGTACTGTAAGTCAAAATGCATTTACTACACCTGACCTACAGACACCACAGCTAAGCCTAGCCTACCTTACTAAACATGCTGTGAATACTTGGATTAGCCCATATTAGGGCAAAATCATCTAAACAAAGCTTATTTTATAATAACGCATTGAATAGCTCATGTAGCTGATTGAATACCGTACTGAAAGTGAAAAACAGAACGGTTGTATCTCTCGTTCAACCTGCATTTGCGAGGCTGATGGGGAGCTGTGGCTCACTGCCACTGTCCAGCATCATCAGAGAGGATCCTAGCGCATATGGCAATCCTGGGAAAAGATCCAAATTCAGAGTGTGGTTTCTATTGAATGTGTATCACTTTTGTACCATCATAAAGTAAAAAAATCATAAGTGGAATCTTTGTAATTCAGGAACTGTCTGTTCATGGATCATCAGAATAATTTACAAATAATCTTTTATCATATGCATCACTTATTTTAGATATTTCTATTCTAGCTAGTGGAGGTAATTCAATTCTGTAATAGAATAGGTTGTCATTAAAGTTATTCACTTCAAATTCAGAGTGTGGTTTCTATTGAATGTGTATCACTTTTGTACCATCATAAAGTAAAATCATAAGTGGAATCTTTGTAATTCAGAAACTGTCTGTTCATGGATCATCAGAATAATTTACAAATAATCTTTTATCATATGCATCACTTATTTTAGATATTTCTATTCTAGCTAGTGGAGGTAATTCAATTCTGTAATAGAATAGGTTGTCATTAAAGTTATTCACTTATTAAAAATGTGAATTTAACAGTGGAACTCACTACATGAATAGATTAAAGGAAAAAAGATCACCTCAGTGGATGCAGATTTATTAAAAAATTGAATTTAAAATCTTTTGCCTAATTTTAATTGGGTTGCTTATTTTATTGAGTTATAAGAGTTCTTTATACTTAATGTCTTATCAGATACATGATTTGCACATTTTTTCTTCCAACTCTTGTCACTTATCTTTGCATTTTCTTGATGGTGTCTTTGAGGACACAAAAGCTTTTGCATTTTGATGAACTCCAGTTCATCCATTTTTTTCTTTATAGATTGTGCTTTTGGTATCACATCTAAGAACTCACTTTAAACAAGGTCATGAAGATTTTCTTGTATGTTTCCTTCTAGAAGTTTTACAGTTTTAGTTCTTAACATTTAGGCCTAGGATCCATTGTGAGCTAACTTTTATGTATAGTAACTTCCCAATAAAAGTTGAAATTCACCTTTCTGCCTGTGGATATCCAGTCATTCCAGCTCCATTCGCTGAAAGGACTGTCCTTCAATAATATTCTACAATTTTCTTTATAAAGTTGCTTTTTATATTTATTTATCTTCGTAAAGTCGTTTTTTTTAGATAGGTATTCATAATTATGAATGGCATACCCTATTCTATTTCCTGATTAGATATGACCCAGGTATCGGAAACCCTGCTAACTTCTGCTCATTGATCTCAAGCCTAGCAACCTTATTAAAGTTCTGTTAGTTCTGATTGTTTACCTGTAAATTCTCTTGGTATTTATGTATAAATAATAATATTGTATGTAATTAGTGGCAATTGTTAATTTTCCAGTTCATATACACTTTTTTCCTTATTTAATTGTAATGGCTAATATCTCTAGTACATTAATGAATAGAAATAGTGATAGTGGTCACTTCTGCCTTGTTCCAGAATTTAAATATTAAGCATTAATATTAAATATCAAACCAAATGATGTTTGCTATGGGGTTTTCATATTTTCACATTTCCTTAATATAATCCTAATTTACCAGCAATTTTTTTTATGAAGTGGTTTTGGATCTTTATTAAATCTGTATCCATTGAGGTGATTTTTTTTCCTTTAATCTATTCACTTACTGAGTTCCACTGTTAAATATTCTAGTGCAGTGGTTCTTAAACTCAGCTTTAAAAAATACTGATACCTGCTTCCTACTCCCAGAGATTCTAATTTAAGTGGTGTCGGGTGCAGTGTGGGCCTGTGGATTTTTAAAAGCTCCCTCAGGTGATCCCGAAGGATAGCCCATTTTGACCACCATTGTTCTTGGGACAAATTCCACGTGGACATGAATTTCTTTTTAAACTGTATTTGTGGTTCAGTTTGTGATTTTTTTTTTAAAGGATTTTTGCATTCATCTTCACAAGAGATTAGCTACTAATTTTCTATTCTTGTGTTGTTTTTGGTAATTTATATTTTTCTAGAAAATTCCCCTTCTTTCTGTTTTCAAACGTTCTTTTCCCAAAGTGCTGTGAGTAGTAGGAAGCTCTTGGCCCAGTAAGAGTTTGTTCGTGTTTATTAAATAACCTTTGCTCATTTTTGAACAGGTGATCTGCGTCCATGATGTCTCATCCATCTACCGTGTCCCCTTGTTATTAGAGGAGCAGGGCGTTGTGGATTATTTTCTTCGAAGACTTGACCTTCCAATTGAGAGGCAGCCACAACAAATGCTGATGAAGTGGAAAGAGATGGCTGACAGGTTTGCCTCATGCCAGGGAGCTGGGGTTCTTGCCACCTTTCTTTTTCTTTGTTTTTTTTTTGCAGGGGCCCATGGAATTCAACTCTCACTTGTGCTGTCAACTCATGTTAGAGAAGGTCTTAATGATAGAGAAGTTAAGAAGGCTCTCAGCCCTCACGTAGTTGCATCATGGACGAGGAAGTCCTGGCAGAGCTCGCCAGGCCTCAGGCTTCAGGGAGGTCAGATTACACACCCATCACCCTTGTCTCCCGTGGACCTGAGAACCCATGCAAACAGGCTTCCCAGGGGTAGTGGGTGAGCCCCCACTCCCTGGCCCACACAAATGGCTGACTGTTGCTGGAGCATTCCTGGGTCCATCCCCAATATCTGAGCTGGGTTTAGGAAAATGCCATCACCCCACACCAGGAAAGCATCAGTAAGAGTGTCCATACGTTTCTCCTACTGCCAAAACTCATCACTTTGAGAACTGTTTCCATTGCACTGTCCTCTTAAAGCTCTGTGATGCTCTCACCTCACATCACAGAGCTTCACGAGCACCTTGAGCACTAGATGTGCTGTATTGTAGTTGCAGGATCAGTAGGGCAACACCCCTGAGCATTTGGGGAGGGAACACTCAACAATTTGTCCGTGACACTTGTTTTCGTTTTGTCATTTTTTTTCTGTCTTTGCACATTTACATGTTTGTGTGTAGCTACAAACATGGCACACAGGTTTATGAGCTTTTTTCATAAAATGCTAGAAACCTTTTGCTCTGTTACTAATTGTAGTTTAGAATGAAAAATGTTAATGCATACGGGCTATCATGTGAGTCTCCTGTAATTTATTTGACTATTCCCTTCTTTCCATTCACTCTTGTGAGTTGTCTTTTCACGTCTGCCCTTGTGAGTTGTCTATTCACATCTGCCCTTTGGAATTTTAATTTTTTAAACACCAATTTGTGTGAAATTTGAAGCCATCTCTTTGTGCTGGGTTCTCAAATCCTACTTATTTACAAGCCTGCCATGTGGACCTGAAAACTGCTTCCAGTTTTCTGTTCTGTACATAGAACTCAGATGATAGCTGTTCCCATTATATGCTTCCCAGACATGTTTTCCTCTTTAGAAGGCGATTTGAATTTCATGGTGGAATGGAGACTGAATAATTTGGTGTTTCTTGATTTCCGTTTGATAGATATGATCGCTTGCTGGAGACCTGCTCCATTGCCCTCGTGGGCAAGTACACCAAGTTCTCAGACTCGTATGCCTCTGTTATTAAAGCACTGGAGCATTCTGCACTGGCCATCAACCACAAATTGGAAATCAGGGTAAGGAGGATTGGCGCAGCTGAGGTGTGCACGAGGAAGCCTCTGTAGCCTCGTAGATGCTGCAGCCATGTCTGCTTTGTATTTTTGGAGCTCAGAATTTCTTTTTAGGGATAAAGATGGTTTATGGTTGGCTCCTGTCTTTGGGAGAACAGTGGAGCATTCTCAGGAAATAGTGAGGGGGAAAGGTGGTCAGGGAAGAAGCTGAGGGAGAATGAATGCTTGAATCTGAATATCAGATGACTGAGCAAAACTGTACCGTGGGAATGGGGGAGCCCCACTGGAAATTTGGATATTACTTGGAAACTATGAAAGAATGCGGCTGTGGAGTCATGAGCCTACTTTTCTTCTCCCCCTTCTGAAAAACTCCAGTATATAGATTCTACGGATTTGGAGCCAAGCACCTTACAGGAAGAGCCTGTGCGCTACCACGAAGCCTGGCAGAAGCTCTGCAGTGCCAAGTAAGTGGTAGCCTCACTACCTTTGGCTTCCAGGGTTTTTGAGCTGTTTCAGGCCAAAGTGCTGTGCCTCCATGTGCTAGTCTAAGTCATCTCCTTTTTAAGCATCTTCTAATTATGGGAAAAGATTATATACTCTATGACTGAAGTCTTAACAAAAATTCAGCTTTTCAGTGTAGTTGAAGAAAACTTGTCATTTTGTTGCTATTTGCTGTATGCGTCTATTGATGAGGCTTATTTAAAGATTTTGCATCCAGAACATTTGAGGAGTATCCATCAGTAGAGTCTCATAAATTGTTTTTTGCTGCTGTTTAAACTAATAAAAATTAGCAAGAATTTCTAGTTTAGTGGAACAATTGAATGGTATGGAGCCCTGCAACTGTGACTGAGACCCTAGGTCAGTGTGGCAGTCTGAGCTGATGGAAGGCCCCCTTCCTACACAAAGGAGCACTTTAAGTCATGAGGTAAAAAACTGCATTTGTTATTTATACTAAAAATTACTAAAGAATTTGTGCCTGGGACAGATGTTGCCCTGTCCTCCAGTTATGTGTGCTGGAATCCTCCAGTTATGTGTGCTGGAGTACTCCAGTTATGTGTGCCATCCCTGTTTTACTTGTTAGCAGCATTTTGTAATGTTGCTAAGAAAAGCCCATGGCTTTGGGTGCATCTTCTGAGTTCAAATATTTATATACACTCATTGGCAGAGTCCCAGCAGCCAAGTGGATGGAGGAGCTTCGTGACATCAGTGTCTTGGAAATGGCTCCTTGGGTGCTTCCTGTGGGCTGGGCAGATGGGAAAGGGCATTGTGCTGTGGTGTGCTTTCTCTTACAGTGGAGTGCTGGTTCCAGGGGGATTTGGTGTTCGAGGGACAGAAGGAAAAATCCATGCAATCTCCTGGGCTCGGAAACAGAAGAAGCCTTTTTTGGGTAAGGAGTAGGAAAGAGCAAGAGAAGGTAACACGTGGGAGCCTGTAAATAAAACGGAGATTACCAAAACCAAACACCGATGCTGTCTCTCTAGAGAGCAGCTCAAATAGAAGCCTTTTTGGTTCTGTTTGGGAGAAATTCAAACTCTCCTTTAAAATGAAAAGTTTGAGCTTGTGAGCTATGTGCGGATGCCATGGAATTTTGAGAGAATGACATAGCTAGTGGGAAATCTTGTCCATTTATTGAACCCAGCTTGTGGCTGGACACGTGAGACTGAGTTTTACATCCTCACGTGGACACTACGTGACTATAATTGGACAAAGTGATTTTGGTTGCTTCCTGGTGCTACAAATTTTAGTACTTTTCAATTTGATCAGTTGTAAATGGGAACTTAATGAGAAAGGGTAGGAAAACTTGTATTTTTAAGTACTGAATAGAGTGTTGCTTATTTTTAAAATGGAATAACTTCCAAACCTGGAATCTTCATGCACTTAGACCCAGGTTTTGAAATCTGATATAGATAAAATATAGCAGGGAGTGTTTGTTTATAGCAGGAAATTATGAAAGTTTGTAATTTTGTGAACAAACAGGGTGCAAAGTCCGTGGCAGGCTGATGGGCAATGTGGGAGCTGCGTTTTCAATAAAACTTTATCTGTTCTTTCCCCTCCATCTGCAAGGTGTGTGTCTAGGAATGCAATTGGCAGTAGTTGAATTTGCAAGAAATGTACTGGGATGGCAAGGTAAGTGTCCATTTAAAAGCTTGTTAAGGTCTTGCTGAAGTCTCTCCTGGAGGGTGTGAAGCCTGGTGCCCACTGGGTGATTGGAGGCAGTGGAGAAGGACAGGCCTAGTTTCTCAGGACCTCTTGGGGCGCAGTAAGGGGGAACGGCCATGTTTACTGAGGGCAGGCACGGCTCATCTGTGCAGACCAGGGAGGAGGGAGCACAGCTGAGCAAGCAGCTTCAGCTCCACCCCGGCACTTCCTGCTCTGGACACTCGCACTTCCATAACCATGGCCACCATTCCTGACTGATGCCGGGTGAGAAAACTGGCCTGTGAGGCTGTGCGGTCATTGTGAACTTTGCCTCTGGAGCTGGTCAAGCCTGGGCTCCAATTCTGACTTAATCACTTATTAATGATTTTAGATGAGTTACTTATCCTTTCTCGGCCTGTTTCTTCTGTGAAAGGAGCGCTAATCATACCTGTTTCACACAGTTGTAAGAATTAAATGAAGTAATGCACGTCCCAGTGCAGTGCCTGGCAAACAGGAAACAGTAACACGGCTCTGTGCCTGGACCACCCGAAAAACTCAGTTATTTCCAACAGCAATTGTTATTTCTCAGTATTCTGTGGGCTGAGGGGCTGCAGCTGGGTGGTTTTCGTTCCCCTGTGGTATATCCAAGATCACCCTGCCCTGCATTCAGTTCTGCTTAGTGGGGACATCGAGATGGTCTCTCCATGTGGTGCCTGACTACATGTGGTGGCTCATCATTCACTAATTCAGCCTAAGCTCCTCACAGTGGGCGACCTGCCAGCTTCCAAAGTGACAGGCCCACTGTGCAAGCACCTACCAAGCTCACTCATGCCCTACTGCCCAGCCTGAGTGGAGGAGGTGAGCCCACTCAGCTGGATAGGCAGTGTGCCCTTTAGTTCTGGCTTCCGAGCTCCTGGCAGGCATCGTCTTGCCGCCCACCGCCCTAGAGCTAGCCCTCTGGGCACTCTGGGCCATTTCCCAGCTGTGATCTCCTGCCACCCACTTGGGTCCCCAGGTTGGCGAGTGACCTGGTGATGAGCTTTCCTTCAGTTGGGACCTGGCCCTGGCGCCCAGGAGGGGAACAATAACTAGCACATCACATAGAAAGAACTTGGTTCTTTAGTGATCTTGCTTCTTATGGTTAGATAGTAAATTCAGTGAAAGATAGAATGGTTATTTGGGTTTCGAAGTCCATTAATTTTTGAGTTAGCTTCTGAGTGAGGCAGTCATTTAATATAGTACATAAGATGCTGAGGATGAAGGAAATAGAGAAAAAGTAGTATTTGCCCATCTTGAAAGAGATATTCTGAAACAAGAAGTTAAAAACTTGAGAACAGTGTAAGAACCATTATAAAGATGCATCATGTAAATAAGGATTATTCACTTATGCCATTGATTTTGATTTTCCTATTTGGTATAGCTTGACTTCCCAGTTATAGATTTAATGGAAAGAATTCACAGGTGTTTGTGTTGAGTATTTTGCATCTTAAAAATGTTATCCCTCGTTTTTATTCTGATCACCGAATGACTTTAAACTGAGGAGGGAAATTGTGATTTAGAGCTTAGGAATGGAATTTTTAAATCAGTTTTGTTTTTGACTGTTTTCCTACTGTAAGTATTTTGATTTTTCAGATGCCAATTCTACAGAGTTTGACCCTAAGACCAGTCATCCTGTGGTGAGTCCAGTGTTTGAGCCTCCATGGGGCTTAGAAGGGTGCGGAAGGGGTGTTGGGTGTTCATCAGTGTGACTGATGGTCAGAGATGGGAAATGGGGCGTTCAGTCCAACCCAGAACACCCTGGGGTCCTGCACTTCCAGACCTCCCAGTAGGAAGAACTTTAAGTTTTCATCTTGTAATTTCTCACTGTTCTTCCCAGTCAGTGAGGGTGGTTCCTGACTGAAGCAATTCCCCACGCCTGCTCCATTCAGCTGCCAGGAGCACTCTGTACCAATATGATGTGAGGCCCTTTGATAGGTTATTGCTGTGTGCCAGGCACTGTTCTCACCACTTTATATACATTAATTCATTACTCCCCAGCAACCCTGGGAGGTGGGCATATTATTAAAGGACTGCTGGGTGATAGCACTGATATGTTTAGTCGTAACCAAAGCTTTTCAAGGCTGGCATACCGTGGGTTATATCCTGTCAGAGGAATGTGGCTCATGGGGGAGGGTCAGTGCCTTTATTATTATTTGAATCCCCAGCCCAGGGGTGCCTGGCCTGCTCCTGATGCCAAGGATGCTGTGGTAATCTAGGTGGACAAGGCCCTTGATCTCAGCACTTAAACAACATCAGTCTGTGCTGACCTACAATTGGCCTTGGCTGACACATAAGACCTCAGAAGGGAAAGAACACAGGTTTGGGGTGTGGAACCCTGGGGTGTGGCTCAGCAGGGCACAGAGAAGTCCCCTGAAGTCAGAGGGTGCTCAGAGGAGCAGGGGGTGAGTGGGGACTGAGACTGTCCTGGCTGTGGTGCCTCAGCCTATCTGTTCCATAGACTTTCGCGGAGCTCCTGCCAGGACACGTCGAGCCAGGAACAGCATCCCTTTCCTTTGAGCAGCTGTCAGTCTAGTGGAGGAGATGTGTCTTAGCACATCCAGTTGTGTACCCATGTTGTTGTGCGTCTGTCTTAGAACGTGCTACAGCCCAGTAGCACTTAGGGTCCAAAGTGCCCGGGGCAGGACGGCCAAAGGAGGGAGCAGCTGTCTGGTCCTGCAGCTCATGAGGCCAGGCTGAAGGGTGAAACCACTCCCCACAAAGTTGAAGGTGGTTACTGGGAGGCACTTCCAAACCTGGGACACATCTCTTCTGAGTAAAGGCTGGGGAAGTAGAGCCGCCTCACAGGCTTGTGTCACTTGGTGCAGGCGGTCGGTCGCCCGTCGGAAGCCAAGTTTGGTAGAGCATGTTTGTTTTGTGAACATCTCCAGGTCATAGACATGCCAGAGCACAATCCCGGGCAGATGGGCGGAACCATGAGGCTGGGCAAGAGGAGAACCCTGTTCCAGACCAAGAACTCAGTCATGAGTAAGAGCTGCCTCCCACTGGCCCAGCCTTCAGCTCAGCGCATCTAGCGTGTGCATCTCGGAGCGCTGCCGGGGCTCTGAAGAGCCAGGCTGGCTTTTTTGGTTTTGTTCTTGGTTTTGAAGTCCTTCCCTTCCCTTCCGAGTCATCTCTTTTAGGATGTGCTACAATAGCCAGAGAAGCAGTGTGGCTCTCAGGAAGGCCACAGGCAGTGCAGTCAGGTCCTGCGGCCCCCAGGTGTGGACAGCCGCCAGAATGAGGCCGTTAGGTGAAGTCCATGGTAGTCAGTTACTTTCTTGCACTGTTACATTGAACCCTATGAAACTGGTAATGTTGGTGATTTTTGTCCCACAAAAATGGCAGTTTTATAGGGTTCAACCTAAATGGATTTTATTCTAAAAGTGCTAAATGGGTGCTAAAGAGCTAGTGAACATTTGGGAGGAAAATATTTAAGAAAATCACTGTATTAGATTTTATTTTCTTGCCCACTGGCAAATTTTGGTCTTAATTAGCAGGGTGTTTTGGGAGCAGCATAGTTCTGAGTTACCTGAGTAGGAGATCTTCCAGTCCTTGCAACACTAATGTTCTGTGGACTCGGGTTCTCACCTGGCAGCCGCACCGGGGTCTGTAAAGCAGCCTGTCTGCAGATGCAGCGAGTATCTGCAGGCAGCTCCCCGCTGCTGAGCAGCCAGACAGCTGTGACTTAACTGCCTGGTGCTGCCCCAGGGTTGCCTGTGTAGCTCCCTCCTTCAAGGTCTCCCTTGGGTTTAGGCCTTTGGTACATCCTGATGTTTTCCAAGGCGGTTTCCCACTGAAACGTGCTTCCACACTGTGACCCCGTGTTGGAGGGTGGCAACAGAAGCCCGTTTCCACATGGTTTGTGGTCAGGCAAAGCCCAGCAATTGGCCTAACCTGTGCTGCTATGAGCCAGGTGGCTGTGGTTGGCAGGAGAAACAGAAATGACTTTGGAAAGGCCTGGCTATGTAGATGGTACAAAATAAACTGGAAGTCGCATGTGGTTGTGAGTAGGTTTCTTTTGTGAAACAGAAGCCTTTACATTGTTGTGCTTTTTTGCCAGGGAAACTCTACGGCGATCCTGATTACTTGGAAGAGAGGCACCGCCACAGATTCGAGGTGAGGATTTGGGCTGTGTGACCTTTAACATTTTCTGCTTTCTGATAGTCTGGAAATGCAGTAAGCTGAGTGGCCAGTAAAATTATTCTTCATGCTTTGACAGGTAAATCCAGTCTTGAAAAAGTGTTTGGAAGAGCAAGGCTTGAAGTTTGTTGGCCAAGATGTTGGGGGAGAGAGAATGGAAATCGTGGAGCTGGAAGGTGCTTAATGGGCAGTCACATTTTAATGGAAAACTTAGTAAGGTTTTCTTGGCATGTGGGAAAATATAAAAATATTGTTGCCCCCTTGACCTAACAGTTGGGAAGCAGCACTGCCCTGTGGTGAGGGTCTCTGCATCCCTGGGAAGCATGTCCTTGTGGAAGCCATGTTCCAGAGGCATTGCCTCCACCTCCGGCCACAATGTCTTGTTCTCCAGAATGAGAACCTGGATGTGCTACTTAAGCTCCCTTCTGATCAGACCTAACTGCATGGCTCCATCCTGTGGACGTCTGGGGAGCCGGGGGCAGGAACCCAGGGAGGAGACCCCCTTCTGCCAGGAGGGGTGGCATGCAAGGGAGAGGGTGTCAGATCTCCTGGGCCTTGTCACTACCTTCCCCCAGGTTCCAGCTGAGAAGCTATTTCCAAGTAATGTTAGGGTCTATGGAAATGTGAAGCACTTAACAGGATTTTCTTCTCAGCTTTTACATTTTATGCATACATACTTCTGCATTTCTGTTTCAGATCATCCCTTTTTTGTTGGAGTTCAGTACCATCCTGAGTTCCTGTCCAGACCCATCAAGCCTTCCCCACCCTACTTTGGCCTCCTTCTGGCCTCTGTGGGGCGGCTCCCGCATTACCTCCAGAAAGGCTGCAGGCTCTCCCCCAGGTGGGGTCACTTCTCTAGTCCTCAGGGGGTCACTGGTTCATACCAGTGAGCCGTCACACTGTCCGTGATCAGCGGAGTGTCCTCTCCTAACCCAGTGTTTTCTGAGGCTTCCCCTGGCATGGTGGCCAGGTCCCACCCCCCCGCCCCACCTGCAGCATCTGGGGCCCAGGCTCACATTGGGCAGTAGGCTCTTATGGTCCACAGGGAACTGATTTTGAGGGGTGTTGGCCATGACATGGGGGGATTTCATGCCCCGTCTCGCTCCCTTTGGAACCAGTTAGTGACTCTGAGTTGGTAGTTAGAGTCTGTGACTAACGTATATGTTGAACATGTATCTTTTCCAGTTAGAAGAAAATCCCTCTATGGCTTCATGCTAAATACTGTACCAGAGAGTCTTTCTGACTTCTGCAGTGTGCAGACAAGTGTCCCTGTGGTGATGGGGGTGAGAAAATCGGGGGAGTCAAGCCAGTTTTTAGTGGGGATGATGAAAAAACCCTCTGCCTTCCACAGGGACACCTACAGTGACAGAAGTGGGAGCAGCTCCCCTGACTCTGAAATCACTGAATTGAAGTTTCCATCAATAAATCATGACTGATGGTAACGTAAGTGAGATTTTAAGCATTAGTGTTTGTTTGTTTTAATGGTGATAACATTAGAATTGCAAGAATATTAGGAAATCTTAGTGCTGAAAATTTTATCTGCCAGAAAAATGGAAATGGTAAGGTCAGTGTGGGCACCAAATGGGGAGGCCCCCTCCTAGTCCCAGTGCACCTCCCCGCCCTGCATGGGGGTGGTGGGGGTGGGGCGGTGAGGGGATGCTCATCACTGGGCAGTTGTCTTTATTACTGACTGCTTCGTCCAGGAGCCAGTCTGAAATCTGGGGAACTAGGTTCCTAGGCCTGTTTTTTCAGGTAGCCATAAACTTGGAGGTCTTGAAGGAGGTGACAGGTGTATAAAGTATGTGTCATGTTTGCAGAGCCTCAAGCTTCCTTCGGGAAGCACTTTAAAACTGAGAGATCCAACATGCAACGCTTTAACGCTGATTGCTGCCTACTCTGGAAATTCCTTATGACCCAAACAGCCATTGAACAGATTTGGAATGTTTGTCTTTTTAGTGACGGGGTTTGTGAGTTTATCAAGTGCAGTAGCTGTGGGCACTGCTGTGAATTGTAAAGTCCCATTAAGATAACTGAGCAAACTGAGTCAGCGCAAGTACACATTCTGCTGGTGAGAGTATCAGAAAGAGCTTAGGAGTGTCAGTCAGGAATCTGGGGTCTGAAAGGAGAACCAGGGAAGTGGTGTAGCCCCATGTAGGGGAGGTCCTGCCACTGGTAAGGTGAGCTCCCGTGAGGCACACGCAGCTGGCTTCCCTGAGGCCTGCACACCTCGCGTTCACCACCAGCGGTCCCTGTGCTGCACAGGTCTGCTCTGACTGGCACATGACCTCCCCTTCCTGCCTTGGTTTGTTAGCCCCCTGGCCTGTGACCTTAGCTGGATGGGGGTGTGAGAAGTAGCCTCCTATCAGGAGAGGACTGGTTACCTATTCTGCCAGCTAAGCACTGAGCACTGATGGACCCCTTAATTCTCCCCCAAACAGTTTGCTCTAGGCTTTTGGATAAGCTAAGAAGCTGCCATAAGGAGAAAGGAAGCTACCAGTAAAAGGGTAGCTGTTTGGTCCATTTCTGGGATTTCTAACCACCTTGCTGAGTGGAGAGCTCCCTATAGGAGGCATGGTAAGAGGCTGTGTGCTGTGATAAGAACACTCACTCGTGTTGCAGTGGAGCCAGAAATCCATTTGAGGTCCTGAAAATGCATGGGGACCACAAATCTAGCTCTGATTACTGCTATCAGGCTCCTACTGCTGGTCTTCCATGAAGAATAGGCATAGCTGACTACAGCAGTGGGCTATACATTCTAACTTTCCTACTTTACATCACGTAATTGCTAACATGTTTTTTTAACAGGGTGATTCTTCAGGAGAGTCTTCGGACTTAGAGAGTGTACAGCTTTTATTTGACACTCAGCTTGACACTTCCTTTAAATTATGTTTTTATTAAGATTATTTTGTTATGGGGGAAGGTATTTGGAAGACTTCGTGACTGGGACGTCCCATCACGAGAATCGGTTTCTACATGGCATGGTGTTGACGCCCCCCCTTGGCAGTCCTGGGGCCTCTCAGGTACGGAGCCATTGTCTGGGCAGGAGCAGATGGCGTCTGGCTGGCACAGCGCCCATCAGTCACCTCGCTTCTCCAACTACCTCACGTCATTGTGGATTTGAGTGTGTATCCATTGCCTCCCCTTGGATGCCTTGACCATCAAAGAAGTGTGGACTTAGCATGGGGAGGGATCATTCTACTTAGTGCTTACAACACATGGTGCTGGAATCCTGAGGGCATTGCCTTTTTCCAAAGCAGTGAAACCAGAAGCAAAGCCTCTGCCTGCCCGGCACTGGCTGGTACTCATCCAAAGAGACAGTCAGTTTGGTGTCACATGAAGCAGCGAGAAGTGTGTCTCTCAAGTGTGAGTTTAGAATCCCTGTCCTTGTGCTTCTCTTCCTGGGGATTGGGAACGCTCCTTGCATCAAGGGGTCACTTAAAAATGAACAAAGAATCTGTTGGGACAACTGCTTCTAGAATCCTCTCATGTATAGACAGCTTTGCTCGAGGGGACTTTTTCCTCAGAATGGTGTTACGGCAGTTGGAATGCAATGCGGAAAGCTGTTATCTTAATGTGGTGTAATGAGGCACAGCTGTGTGCCCACTGTGTTCTGGCTGGACTCGGAGTGTACTCTAACTTAAGAAATAAATGATGCAGAATAAGAGACACACTTTGTTTGTAATGCTCTGTTGCGGCCGGATGCAAAGTGGCTGAGCACAGATGTGCCTGTGTGTGGTCACTGGAACTGTCAGCTCCAGGCTGTCCCTGGGTAAGCAGCCTGAGATACATGATCTGATAGTTGAGAAACTGAGAGGAGCCTTTCTTTTTTATGGGAACCAGAATTTCTCAAAAGGGCTTCAAATTTAGGTTCTGAGCTGATAGACATTCAAAGCAGCATGGGTGGCAGTGTGCTGCTCCATCTTGAGAAACGGAGTAAACGTGTGATTTGTGAAGGAGTCCTTCACTCTGCCAGGCGTGGAGTTGGGACCGCACACGTGTGGCCAGGGAGCAGCAGACCAAAGGGCATTAGCCAGCAGACTGCCTTATACCGCATGGGTCCGCCTGGCCTTCTGTGTCCAGGGAAGGTCCAGAATGGCTTTTCCTTTGAGACGAAATCAGTGATTCTGGATCTGTGCCCCTGTGGCATGTTGGTGACCCTGGCACCCACCCGCCCTTGGGCTGCTTGAGCATGTGGACTCAGCTGGTTCCTCTGCACAGTCGGAGACGGGCTCGGGCTCTGGCAGATGCTCAGCAGCCTTTACTCTGTGACATTTAGATACGGGTGGTTGGGGAGGAAAATGTTCCTCTTACCAGGTAGCCCACCTCCTCCGTCAGACCCAGGAAAGAAGTAGGCTCCCTTTATCCTGCTGCTCGCTGGGCCAAGGCCATCACTGCTGCTGAGGGCCCACAAACTGGTGTTCCTGCCCCCTGACCAAGAGCAACTCAGCTGCCTTTGTCTCCACTTCTCATGGCATGAAATAAAATGTCTTCATTCACAAAGGTCTTCAGGCTTGTCTTGGGACTTTGAATGTGGCTGACCAGATGAATTCTAATGTGTTTTCCAATTCCAGTGCTCCCATCAGACAGTCTTGAATCATTTTTATAAAAGCCATTCCCCAGACTGGCTCTGCCATGCCCACTGGTGACAGCTGTGCTCCTATAATAGTGAAGCCTTGCAGTTTGTCAGACATTCCCATTCCTGCCTTGAAGAGTACCTCAACTGACCAGTTAAGTGCTAGCTACTTGTATAACCTTTCTAGAAAAGGGACCCCAAATGGCTTTCTAGGGCTTACAAAAAAAGTCCAACCATTCCCAGTCTTGCCTCCCTGGCTGTGGCACACTGGACCACACCAGGGACAAGGGCTGAGGCTGAGATTACACAGGAGGGTGGCCTTCCAAGCCCAGCATTGACAGACCAGTGCCTAGAAGCTTCTCAGGGAGGAAACCAATGTTCTTTCCTTCAACCCAGGTGATCTGGGCAGGTTCTTACCTGTCTGGAGCAGCTCAGGTACACCTGGCCTTTTTCCTGCCTTTGTAGAGGCCACCTGTTTCCCTGCAAGAGCGTTTCTGAGGATTGTGATACCTGGGCTAGCATCTAGCCTGTGCCTGGCTTGTGGAAGGTGTTCAGAAATGGCTCCCCTGACTTCTCGAGTAGCCCATCCTCTGTGAAGTTTCCAAGTAGCCTTTGAAGTCCTGGTTCAGGTTCAGTGGCTGGATGACCCTGAGCAGCTTGGGGTGAGGGGGTTTGGTAATCTGTCATGATTGGCATCCATTACCACATTTGGTCCCTTTAACCAATGTGTGATAAGTGGGAAAACCAAGTCTCAGAGCACTTGTGACTGGCTTGGGTTGGGGGTGTGTCTCCCGGCTGAAGGAGGTATAGTCCCAAAGCTGTTCTCTGTGTCTACTCTGTGCATGTGGTCAAGGACCTCTAGAATGAAGGAGGGAGGGGATCAACTGAAGTGTTCCGTGGGCCTCCAGTCCTGTGAAATGCTGTTTGACAAGGTTCCATGATGTCTCAGTGGCTCACGTGAAATGAAGGAGTACCCCTGGCTGCTTCATCAGCAAATACTGGCTGCCTACCACATGCCAGCCTTGTTTTAGGTTCTGAACTCACAGCAGTGAACAAACAGACCCAAATCTCTGTCCCCTGGAGCATGTATTCTAACTGGGGAGAAACAGCAAATAAAAGTTACTGAGTGTGATGGACAAGTGCTCTGGAGAAAAAAAGATGGAAGCAGGGGTTGGGGAAATGGAAGTGCTGGAGAGGGGTGTAATTTAAGATAGGTGGGTAGGAGATTTCCTTTCCTTTCTACCTGATGGTGGAGAGGAAGGAAATAGAAGTTATGAGGCTGGAAGAGTAGCATTCCAGGCACGGGAAGCAGCCAGTGCAAAGGCCCTGAGGCAAGTCATGAAACAAGTTGGTCATTGTAGCTGGAACATATGAGCAAGGGGTTGAAGGAGAAGCTGAGGTCAGATGGGCCAGGTTGTGGAGAACTGTGTAGACCATTGGGCTTTGCTCTTGGTGAAATGGGGAGCTTTTGGAGGACTTTGGCCCCAGGCATAGCATGATCAGATGTTGCTTTAGAGTCTCTGGCTCTGCTGGTGGAGATGGCAGGTGCCTACGGCAGAATCTCTCCAACTGTGGTTGGTGCTTGCAATGGAAGTCAGACCTTTCCCATGCAGGTGCCAGTGTGTGCTCGAGAGAGATGGCACCAGCGTGATGATCAAGCACCCCTGTCCCCTCGCCATTGTCACTATGTTATAGATGAAGAAACTGAAGCAAACCAGTGTGGCAATTTGCCCCAAGCTACCTGGTCTTTAAGACAGAGGTGGACTGAAACCCCACCACCTGAGCTCCTCCCATAGCTGTGTGGTAGGAGCCCATGGCTGGCTTGGCCTCTGGGACACAGGTGGGCTGGGCATGGGACTTGTGATTCAGCTGCATTCAACTGGCTGACCGAGTGTCCTAGAAACAACTGTTCTTGCACCAGGTGCACATAATTTATTAAAGAGCTTTAACAATCACAAGTTCCAGCCAGCCAGGGTTGTGGGCTGCAGGGTGGCCTGTTTGCCCTGTAACCATGGTTACTGAGTGTGCCTTGCCATCTGCAGAGGGGCTTTCCCAAGATGACGGCTTCCTTTCTGGTCCTGTCTAACCAACTGAAGTCACAGACCCCCAGCCTGGGCAAAATGAACTTTTTAGGGAGAGGGACAGTCCCTTACTTACAGTTCACTCCTGGGATGGCTCTGGCCAAGCTTACACAAAGTTATTTATTTCTGAGAGGAAGGGTCCTTGGGGATGGTGCTAAGAGCAGTTTCTTAGCTACAAAGACCGGAGTCCGCTCAGGACTGAAGCTGCGCGGGGACCAGCCTGTGTGTATGCCGTGTTGCTGAAGCAGAAGGAAGCGTAGTGCTCTGTCCACCTCTCAGCAGCCCCAACGGGGTTTTATCAGCTCAAACATCTGCCTCACCAGGTGCAGCGCTGGCTTCTCCCTGCGCTGGTCTCTGGTGGCCTCACAGGATGCAGCAGGTGCAGGAGGTGGACCTGTGCCACTGCAGCTGCTGTCGGAGCTGCTCCTTCTCGGCTGTCAGCACCTTCACCTGCTCCTGCAGCTTGCTCAGCTCCACTGTCCACTTCTGAGGGGATGTTGTGGAAGCAGATGTGAAAGCTGACCTCACGTCAGGCCTGTGCACCTTCACCTGGAGTTAAACTGATGGAGGAGGGCAAGGCCCAGAGGGGGTCTGGCTTGAGGCCACAGAACACCATAATGGCACTGCTAGGTGGGAAGCCAGGTCCGCTGGCCATGCTGCTACCTCTGGCCAAGTCTTAGGGAGGCAGCTGCAGCTGAGGGTCCTGCCAGCATCCCACAGCCTCTCAAGTACCAGGGGCAGGATCAGTTGCCAGCTCCCACGTCCTTTGCTCTCTCCTTCAGCTCCTCGCCCTTTGCTTTTCCTGCCACCTAATGTGTCCCTCTTGAAAAGGCTTCTCCTTGGGACTGTGTCCAGTACTAACGCCCCCATGTTAAGGGCCTCCAAAATGCAGTATACAGTCCTCAGGGTTATCATAATACATCAAATATTTCACTCTCCTGGCCCCTCCAGCCACCCAACAATGGAATACGGAGGTCGTTGGGTTATTTCAATGCAGGCACTCTGGCGTACTCAAGGTGCAATGGAGCACCAAGGGAAAGCGATGGCTGCCCAGGGCTGCTCAGTGAGTGGCGGAGAGGGCCTGCAGACCTGGCTCCCACCCTACCAACCATAGCCTTGGCCACTTACCTGCCGGTACCACTCCTGGATGGCGCCGACGGTCAGTGGGCCCTGGGTGCTCCCGTCCCGCCGCAGGAACACCTCCCCCTGGTCTGTCTCGTAGAGCTGTGGCTCAGCCTGGGCCTTGGGGGTGTGCACGCTCAGGCGGATCACCTTGGTTCGGACAACAGCAGCTCTGGTGGGTGCTACAGCCCACATCCCACCTCCTTTGCTCCTCAAAGCTTGTTGACTCCTGGGGGCAGCCTGGCCAGGGTCGGGGTAGGGCTGCTTCCAGCCTTTACTCCTGTCACTTCCCCCAACTCCCTTTTGCCACCACCCCCTGCCCAGCCCTGCTCAGGCCATCATTTGAGTCAGGAGGGATGCAAAGCAGACCCAGAGGCCTTCCTGTCTGCTCCTCACCTTGAGGGGGGTGCTGGAGGCAGTGGTACTGACCACAGGGATGAAGGTGAGTGTGTAGGCATCAGGGAAGACCTGGGGCTTGAAATCCTGCAGGATGGAGTCCACTAGCAGGCGCACACGGTCCTCGTCGTGGTGGCTGCAGCGGATGCCTTGCACCAGGCCACTGTCCTCGACGCCCACGAACAGGCTGCCGCCCTCGCTGTTGAGGAAGGCACACACGTAGCGCCGCAAGTGATGCTTGAAGGCCAGACTCAGGTACTCACCGCTGCCCCGCTTGAACTCCATGTTGCGCGTCTCGCTTCCCAGGAAGGCTCCCTGGAAGAGCTGCTCCTGGCCCAGGATCTTCTGGTGCACGATGGCGCTGTCCGAGCGTGTGCCCCTTGGCTGGCCCCGGGAGCTCCTCTGCCGTGGGGCCAGGGCCGGGTTTGGGGAGGCATCAGCGAGCCCACCTGGTGGGAGTCGGGAGCCTGGGCTGGGGCCACTGTCCTCCTGCCAGGGTGAGGGGCAAGAGTCGGAAGCCTGGTGACTTTGGCAGTGAAGCTACATGCTGCCAGAGCCCCCACCTCTACCCACCTGGGTAGGGGCCCAGCCCACTCAGGCATCCTGATGTCTTCTCAGGCCAAAGAGTCTAATTTGGCCCACCACCCTGCAGCCAATGCAGGAAAGTCTGCTGGGTCAGGGGTTCAAACCAGCCATTCACTGCCGGACAGCCACCTTCCCAGGTGGGCTGTGGGATGCAGGTAGGAAAGAAGGGCCCTCCCTTCTGGGTTAGGATCTTTGGGCCAATGTCTTCTGGTTTGGGCCATAGAAAGGCCTCTGTGGCCCAAACCCGCATCATTCCAGGAAATAACTCAGTGCCCTGAGGTTTCTGGGACTAAGTTTCAGGTCTCTGAATTGAGAGTGGCTCCCAGAGAATCCACCCACTTCCTAATCTCCCTGAAACCCTTGCCTATCACTTTCTGAACCACTGACCATTGACCCCAGCCCTGAATCTCAGCTTTCCTGAGTCCCCTTCCATGGTTTCTGCTTTGTCCAAGGGCTCTGCCCATGAGTGTGCTCATGGTTACTCTCCTAGTAGGCCTCATCACTGATTCCCTGCCTCCAGGCTCTCCCCATCCCATCCATCCTCCTCCCTGGCCCTCAATGCAAGTCAGATTGTCACTCTGCCTTTACTGGGTTCTCCACTGCCTTCTCTGGCTCCCTGCTGCCTTGCAATCTCTGGAAGTGGCCTCCAGGGCTATGAGCCCAGTGCAGGCTGGGGCATGGTGATGAAGGACACATCCTTACCAGCCCTGCTGCTCCCGGAGAAGACAGATTTATCAGAAACATGGAAAACTGTCATACAAACATGAAATCAGGCTCTGGTCTTGAAATTTAAGTCACAGCTGTTTAGTTCTGCAATGATTTAAACACCATGGAGTTTTCACCTCAAAGGAAAAACCGAGATCACCTGTCCACGGAGTGACCTCATGGAGTTGACTGTTCCTTCCTGTCCCCAATAAAGGCCCTGCTCTGCCTTGGTCTCACAGCCCTTGATGGCCTGGCCCCTGCCCTCTGGCCTTTCTTCTTTAGTTTGTCTGCTCCAGGGACACCACAGGGCTTGCTTCTCTGCAAATACAACACTGCCCCTCACCACTGTTCCTCCGTGTGGGCCAGTCTCTCTGCATGGAATGTCTTTCCCCTGAGTACCTGTCTCACTCTAGATCCACCCTGGATTTCACTTCCCCTTCGAATTTGTGATCACCCGGAGAGCAGTGAGGACCCTCCTGGATGCTGACAGCTCTAGGTGGCCACCGTGCAGCTTTGTAACTGGCTGTGTCTGCTCTGCTCAGTCACTGGGCTCCCTGAGGGCAGGGCTGAGCCTTTGCCCTCTGCTTTACGGCCTGGCACAGAGCAGCCATTGGTGTTGGTCAACTGAATGAATGAGGTGGGCCAAGGCGAAAATGGGGACCCCCGAATAACCCGCTGGAATGTAGAAGGACCCTGGGAGGAGCCCCACTTGGCCTGCCTTCACATGCTTCCAGGCTGCAGGCAAACTGTGAGGGTCAGTGTCTCTCTGGGAGCAAGCTGGCAGCCATGTCATTGGGTTATCCGGCAGACCCCCGCCCCCCAACCCTGCCCCAGCGCCGTGTGAGGCTCTGGGAAAGCCTCTCTCACCTCTCTCTGGTTGGAGGGGCCCCGGCCCTCACCCAACACCAGCTCCTTCCCACGGGCTGCCAGCTCCTTGGGGATCTGGTGCTCCTCCAGCGCTGTTTGCAGGCGCCGCGGGAGGGAGGCCAAGGTGTCCTTGTGGGCGGCCACTTGAACCAGTGCGTAGGCTTTCCGGGGCCGCCTCACCACCTCGATGTGTTCCCGTGCCACCGGCAGCTCCAGCCGCTCCAGGGCATCCCGCAGCAGGCAGGCGAGCATAGGCACAGAGAACTGGGGGTTCAGGTGGCCCACGTAGAGAATGTGTGTGCTCGGAGCTGCCTCGAGGCCTGAGTCCTCGGGTTGGGACTCTTCTGGGGGAAACTCCTCCAGGGGCCTCTTGCTTGGGGGCTCCATGAGGCACTCCTGCACCTGGGTTTGTGGTGATCTCTTCATGGGGGTCTCTGGAGGGGTCTCCCTCAGAAGGACTTCTGAGATTCCTCACTGTTGACTTCTCACAGCACCCTGGGCTCAGCTTGGCCCAGGGCCTCCCAGGGGACTCAGTGGGTGCCAAGCCTCCTGCGAGTTTCACAGATTGGCAGGGGCTGGGCAGGACCAGAGAGAGAGAGAGAGAGGGAGGGCAGAGGGCTAGCAGGAAGGGGCCTGCCCACCCACCCAAGGCCTAGGACAGGAAAGAGGAGTCAAACAGGGCTGAACCAGAGAACAGAGCATGTGGGCCTGCCCCATTCCACAGAAGGGAAGACTGACGGGATGTGCCCAAAGAGGGACCAGAACTCAGGTCTCTGAGGGCCCCCATATTCTTTCATTGGCTCCCAGGGTCCTGTCTTCCCTCTCCAAGCCACAGGCTCAGGGCCTCCTACGTGCCCTCGGGATTTCCTGTCCACCAGAGAAATCTGTTCAGAGGGTCTTTGGAGAAGCAGCCTTAACCCAGGCTCTGAGGACTGGCTGTAGCCCACTGGCTCCTTCTGTTCTGACTGTGCATGAGCCCAGCACAGACTCTGAAACACAGCGATTCACAGAGATGCTGTTATACTTTGGGCACACTGATGAAGGCTTTGGCCCTTCCCCCCAAAATGGCCTTTGCATATATACATATAATTTGAGGAGGCTTGTGGACCCTTCTTAAGAACTCTTGGTCGAGACGGAATCCTTTGGTTTTAGTCCAGAGAGAAGGGAGGAGGGGCAGAACAAGGGGCAGACCTGGGGCCTCCCTCCTGAGCCTTGCGCAGCTGCACACACAGCAGCTCCTCCCCTCACCCCCACACCACCAGTCTCCGGTCTGTGTGGCAGCTACCACTGGCCTGCATCTTTTCAGATTGGATCCTTGAGGCAGTCAGGGCCTGGGGGCCTACACAGCTGGAGTGGGGGCATTCAGGGTAAGTAGGAATAGGAAGAAAAGCCTATGACCCTCATATCCCCATGGTTCCTGGGGGAATGTGGGAGGTGCCAGCGCTCAGCTCCCACAGCCACCTGACCTCTGGCCAGCAGCTCCCAGAGGGCACCTAGGGGCTTGGCACTGGGCAGCAGGAAGCACAGCTGTAGGGAGTGGGTGGGGCCTATGGAACTACCTCTGTGATCTCACCAGAGTCAACAGTGCCTTCCTGATCGCCAGCCTCAGGCAGGCAGGGTTGGGAGTCAATCAGGTAAACTCCCCCTGCAGTCCCTGCAACCCCCACCCCTGCCAAATACACTAGGCACTGGCCCTGGGACTCCCTCTGGGCAGCTCTCAGAGTCTCAAGACATATTTCCTTCCTCTGTAACATCTCTCCAGACCTCAGTGCCCATGCTGGTCCTCTGATGCCACCAGTCCCCATCTTCCCCCTTTAGTCACCAATCCCAGGTTTCACTGAGCCCTGTCAGGGCCCAGCTACTCCCATGATGGATAGAATGCAGTAGGTTCCAGGGCTCTTCCTGACACCAGGCACTTTTCTATGCCAGAGATGGAGGCTGCTGTCTAGAAGAGCCTTGAAAAGTAGGTCAGGCATTGCCAGCTCTTTTAGGACAGGCCTGCCACCTGCTGTTTGACAGGGACCAAAATGTGGGTGATTTGTCAAAGCTCCTGCTTTGATAAATTCTTTTAATTATGCAGAGGTAGGTAGCATTTTTCCATACAGCTTCTCAAAGTCCTGATCCCTGGGAGGGAGGGTGGAATACAAAGGCAGAGGCTTCAGGCTGGGGAAGCTGACAGCGTTGAGGAGGTGGCCTTCCTCATCTAGGCAGCCATTCTGAAGAGGTTAATCAATTTTTGTTTCCTTAGGGACTGAGGCAGAAGCTTGGCTGGAGAACTTGGCTATGGTGTGGGGGAAGGGTCCCAAGTGGTAGCAGTGAGGCTCTGAGGAGACCTGTCTCCCCCACCTTCCCAGGCAGATCTGACCCATCTCTGCATCCCCAGCTCTGAGTTGCAGAAAGACAGCTCTAAGCTCTCCATGCTTTCCCTTCTTCTCCTTGAGGCCTTTCTAGACTCTGTCACCAGGAGCTGCTCTCACAGCAACTGTGTAACTGGGGCCGTGGCTGTTTTAGATGGTTAACTCAAGTCACTTTGTGTTGATAGTTAACTCAAGGCAGGTTGAATTGTGCAGGAACAGCCAGCCAGGAGAGGCACCCTGACAGATGAAGCATGTGAACATAACCAGAGAACATTACACACTTCTCCAGAAGCCTTGCTATCAGGCAGCTTTCTGCATGAAATTGTCCAAACTGATTTGAGTGCCCAGACTTTTCCCGCTCTTACTGGAAATCTCTTTAAACCACTGTATTACATATTTCCTTGGCTCTCCAACAATCTTATGTGAGCTGAACATTAGTTCCACTTCTTTTTTGGGGGGTAAAAATTGTCTTTGATTGTAAGCACTAAATGCATTACAATATAATTGGGTTATTTACAGCATCTCAGGCTTTCTGCCAGTATTGACGGTACTTTGCGGGCAACTCGGGTGGTAGCAGACATGAGTTCAGTGTTGTCTGGATGTCTGTGAACACTGAAAAACCCCTCTCGGCAGTGGAGAAAAAAAAATTCTTGAATTTAATTCAAGAGGTAGGCAAAGGGGGCTGTGGACATGGCTCTTCCCATTTCTGGAGAGTGGTGGCCCACACGATCCCCATCCCTGAAACCACAGGTGTGTCTGCACTATTTGCCCAGGGAGGCCAGCTGAGGGTAGAGGGGCAGGGGAGGGGCAGGTACTGAGCTCAGTCATTATGTGGAGGGACAGGATGTCAGAAGAGCAAAGTCTAGAACTCAGGAGGAGTGGTGTGGACAGAGCCTCTGCCATCTGGGCCCCATGGCTCTCTAGCCTGTCCTGGGCCCTCCCCTTGCATGTCAGCCCCTACAGGTATCTTGGGCCCTTCAGCTGCTGGCCCCTGGAAACTTCTGCAGCAGCCCTGGTGTTACAGACTAGGCACAAATACGTGGTTCTGATGCTTGCCTGTGACGGTCCCCAAGTGGGAGGTTTCCAGCTTCCGTGATAGCATGGGCTGACCTGGGGTGAGTATCAGCGTGAGGAGTGTGGACTCTCTTAGGCCAGAAGATCTCCAAGTTTTTAGTTTTGGCTGCAGGGAGGAAGGATGAGTCACCTTCCGGCTCTGGGGAGGGATGGTGGCAGCTGGTGTTAGGGCACAAACAGTGTGACCACTTGGCTCACCAGTGCCGCAGCCCAGAAAGAGCTCAGATGCCAGCGGAAGTGCTATAGACCCTCCTGCTCAGGACTAATGGCCAGGCAATGGAGGCAGGGTGGAGCAGCCGCAGGCACACAGCCAGGGTGCAGGTGCGGAAGGGGCAGAGGGTTCCTGAGGGATTTGGCCCTAAGTGGAACCTGGGCTCTTCTATCTCCTGAAGTTCCTGGACTTTTTCTTTCTGATGTTCCTCTGCACTGGAGTCTATGTCCTGGCCTTGTCATGGATTGAGGGTGGGCATGTTGAGCTGGTGCCAGGAGGCCTCTGTCCCCCAGTCCCACTTTCCCATTTACCTGCCCACTCTGTGGGGTCAGTGGAGTGCTCTCACCTGTGTGTGGTCTTCAGCTTCTTTGGGTGACTCACTATTAGGCAGCCTGGCTTTGTGAAACAATTTCAAAAGTTTTTGTTTGTTTCCTTAAATAACATTCAGTTCTGACCCAGAGTGAAGGGCTAACAAATCCCACTGCTCCTACAGAATCTGACATTTGGTTACCTTTCTAGTTCTATTCCCTTGGAAGCCAGATACAAATGGAATGTCAGCTGTTTCAAGGCAACATTTTACTTATGGTAAAAATGACCCCAATTATAAATTATCTGGACTAGGAATTCTGTGTGTGAACTATAAGCATCTACTAAAAAGCCACAGCTTTGGGTATCCTTAGTATAGTGACTCAATTGGACATGCCCCTTGCAGGGACCCTGGAAGCTATGCCTATGGAACTAGGGAGTCATGGGGCATGAGGCTTCTAAGTCAAGGTGGATCCCACTTCTCCCTGCTATGCCTTATTCCCTTACTCCTGAGCTGTCACCTGGGCAACAAAGAACAGTCTGGATAACTGTAGGCTCCAGGACTACTCCCTGGAGTGGGCTGTTTCATGCTGACCTGCTGGAGGCTGTTTCTGATCTGCTGGTCTTCGAGGGGAAGGCCCTGCCCAGCATAGCCTGAGGAGTCCTGAGTCTGAGTGTCAGGAGGACCTAAGACGAAGGCCCTGTGGTGGATGCTGCAGGCAGTATCAAGTACCATGCCCCTTATTAGCTATGGAGTTTGGTGCAAGTAACTTCTCTAAGCTTTAGTTTCCCAACCTATGAAATGGGGGCACATGGTAGTTATCCTAGAGGGGTGTAGTGAACTTTAAGTGAGATAATGTACATGAACAACTTAGCACAAGAAGCTCTCAGTACATGTTCACTGGTCAGCTGTCTGCTCCTGGTGACAAGGGAGTAAGGTAGGGTGGATGTGCTTTGCTCCACAAGGCCCAGCCTTGCAGTATGTCTGGCCTGCCCACATATGCTGGTGTTACCTTTAGACTCTGTGTCTCTTGGGTAAAGGTCACATCCTGAAGTTCACCGTCAGTGTTCAGTAAGGTCCTCTTTGGTAGTACCCTGAGTAAACAGCCCAGCCTATCAGATCCCAATGTCTAGGAGTCTGTAGAAAACAGGGGTCTATTCTGGCTCAGCAGCCCTGATCTTGACTGCTTCATGGGGATGGTGGCCAGAACCTCTCGGTGGAAAAGACATTGTAAGTTAGGACCCTGTCAGAACCAGTCACTGGTAAAAGGTGGTAGGGCCCTCAGAAGCTACCTCATCTAAAATCCTCATAGCCAGATGTGCCCAAATAAGGGAAATGACCCACCCAAAGCACATCAGCAAATAGCTGGACTGGCTGAAACCTTGGCCTTGGCCTCGGTGTGAGATTACTTGGCTTCAAACAAGTACTTTGGTACTTTCTGGCAATGTGATGAAATTAGGTTTCCTCATCTATAAAATGGGTTTGCTGAGATGAAATGAGTTAATTCTAACTCATGTGGAGCACTTTTGTGGGGTACAAAGTGATATCAAACTGTTAGTTATTGTCAGGTGTTCTTCATTCTACCACTGCCCCCTACACCTTCTCCTGCAACACCATTATAAATGGGGATATGTGGCCACGTGGCCCTGGACTGGTGTATCTGGCTCCTGGCTTGTACAAGGGGTACAATGCAGGCTGGGCTAGCCTGCATTTCTCCTCACCCCACGAAAAGGATGAACCCAGCCACTGGGGCTCCCTGGAGCTGCTGATGCTAATACTGATCTTGCTTGGGCTGCGTGGCTGCTACAAACACCACTAGCTGCACCAGATGAAGCCCCTGAGGGCAGAGAACAGACTCACACACTGCCTTCTGGGGGGATACACAAAACTGGGCCCCAGGGGGCATCCTGTACCCTAGGGATTTCTGGAAGGAGAACTCTTAGGCACCATCTTGTCCAGATTCCTCATTTTACCAAGAGAGGGGGGTGACCTGCTTATTGGAGGCACACTGATTTGTCTACTGACTGGTTAAAAAGACACTAGCATCTATATTGCTTTTTATTTATAAACAAATTAACATAAAATAAATCCAGATGGCAGCAGGGGCAGCTGTGCAGCTGACTTGCTTACAAAGGAAGCATAAGGACAGTGGAGTGGGTGCAACCAAGCTCTAGCTTGGAGACCCTTTCTTTCTACCTACCTTAGGGCCTTCTTGGCCTGAAATCATTGGGCCTAACCTTCCGCAGCAGTTCTGGCCAGGGCAAGGTGTTATGGTGGGGGACAATATGGGCCCAGTGCAGGAGGAGAGGGGAAGGTGATGGGGCTCCTCTCTTCCTCATGGTGAGAGATGTGGTCATGGCCTTGTGGGTCTGTCCATTCTAAAGAGAAAGTTGGCCCTAGTGTAATGTCCTCTAGCAAGGGACCACATCTCTCTGGGACCAGGGCAGGGCAGTCACTCTCCTCCTGAAACCCAGTGTCTGGAGGGACAACTGTAGTATGAACTGGAAGGCTTGCCGAAGTGCCAGAAAAAATAAATTAACAATAAGATCTTTTTTGAAAAAAGGTAGAGGTTTGCACCATGAGTTTGGAGTCTGGGGATCTTGTAAGAAGAAGGCAGAGCTGTGGGGAATGGGGCGCACACCAGGCCCAGCAGGTGGTGAAGGGATGTGGTATGGGTATCATTCAGGGCCCCATCATCGGAGGCTGCAGGGGTCAGCCCCTTCCTCCATCACTTGGAAGGTGTTCAGTCTGAGTCCTGGTGAGAGCTGGCCAGGCTTGAGAAATAAATACAGGGGGCCCTCTGGGCTGAGGCAGGGCTGAGGGGAAGAGCAGCGCCGGCCCTGGTCCCCACACTCTCCCTCTGCATCCTTCATGGAAGGACCTATCATGGCAGGAGGGGTAGTAGTGGTGGCTCCACACAGCCTCCTGGAGTCCTGAGGCACCCGGGAACAGGCTGACGGCCCTCTTTCCTGGGAGAGAATGCCGCCCCCATCTGTCTGACCCTCAGTGGTCGAGCCTGAGGCGTCTCTCTGTTCAGAACTTGCCCTGCTTCAGTCGGTCAATGTGGTAGCAGAGCTTGAGTGCGGGCCCCAGCTTCAGACCCATGTACTTCATCATCATGTCACTGCGCAGCAGGAGCAGGGCCTTGCCGTCAATCTCCTGGTGGTATGGAGGAAGGTGGTATCAGAGGCCTGGTTGGTCTCACCACCCCAGGTTCTCATTAAAGGCCACCCAGGGAAGTGCCGCCACATGGAGTCCAGGTTCACTGGACTCCACCTTCTGTCTCCAATTAACTCTCCCAGCAAACATCTACTTCTGAACCTACCAAGCCGAGTTCTTCATGTTTACACCAATTTCCTTTCTCCCAAACCCAAGATGCAGCTCAACTTCATCTCTTCCAGGAAGCCTCCCCCATCATGTATTTTTCACTCATCACAGACTCTTTTTATATTGACCCTCAACTGTTATTCTATGAGTCATCTTCCTTCCTGAGTATCAGGGTCCCTCTGTGTGAGCTAGGCAGAAAGCAGGCACTTCCGGAGCAGCTATGAGACCTTCAGGCACCCCTTAGGAGTACCATTCAGCCCCACCTGGCATGAAAGATTTAACCTATCAATGAAAGGCAGCCTATCTGTTCTGAATGCCCAAGGGCTGAACAGCACCAAGCTGTAGGGGCTATAGTGATGCTGGTCTGCACCCTAAATCAGGAGTGTGGTCACTGCAGGGGGATCAGGAGCAGCCCCTAGCCATAGAGCCAAATGGTCACTTGAAGAGATGCTAGAGGCTCATAGAGGGCCAAGTGGAAGATGGAGGACTGGTGAGGCTGGCACTCTTTAACCTGGGCTGAGGCCTCTGATTCTCAGACCAAGGCAGGCAGGTGGGAGAGCAAGTGCTCCTAGGAAGGTAGGGTTCTGTTTCAGGAAAGGACTGAACCCATAGGCCATATCCCCTATAGGAATGTGGCTGAATCAGATCCTGCATTGAAGAGTGAGCTGGACTCAATGCCTAGGAAGGGTTCTTTGAGACCCAAGATTCTGTTTCTATCTACATTTGTATGGTGTCTCTTGCTTGATTTCAGGGAACTTGAAACAAATATGGAGCTCATGCCCTTCAGAGTCTACAGTAGCAAGATTCCCAGTGGACACAGGAGAGGTCAGGCAGGGGCACCTACGTGTTTGCGGAAGAGGTCAGCATGGGGTCCAAGCTGAGGATCAGCCTCCCGGACAAACTGCATCACGTCCTCGACTGTCCATGAGGAGGGGTCTCGGCCACTCAGTCGAGAGGCATCCCGGCTTTCCAGGTATCGTTCTGACCCTGCAGGACAGGAGGGCACCTGCTGTAATGATGGGGACTGGTTTGTGACTCCCCACCACTCTCCTCGGCATGTCCCAATGGCCCTGTGGGTAAGGCTCAGAGCAGCACCAGAGTGGAGCAGAGTCAGAGGCAGCCAGGGAGGGGAGGGCTTTTCCACAAAGGGCCTGAGACTCTTTTTAAGTCAAATTTTTGTTCTTTAAGGGTTAATCTGATTTTGGAAATGGTCAGAAGGAATTTTACATTGAGGTGATTCAAACTGGACCTGAGTCAAGGATAACATTGGATAAGGGAATCCCCTGGGTTCAGTGGGGGCTGGTGAGTAAGGTTGCTATTGCCTTGGCCCTGGGAACCATTTCTAGAGATATCTAGGGAGATGGGCAGATTAGAGCCAAATCCTTGGGGCCTAGAGAGAAAAAAAGTGGTAATACCCAGTGCCTCTTGCAAGGCCTGGAGAACAGCTGACCTTGCTATAGCCTAACACATGGAGGCAACAAACACATTTTTCTGGCTGCCAGGAATCTCAATGTTAACTTAGTGATCTGCCTAGAGCTTTATCTCAATTTTGGCTCAAATACAGCAACTCCTCTTTCCCCTGCGGGATTTGTGTTCTCTGTATTTTGATCATCACTGCCTGGAATGTGCCCCATATCAGCCTCTCTGCCTGGAATGTGCCCCATTCTGTCCTTTCAATTTCTCCTTTCCTTGAAACTCCAGAAAACGAAGTTGGCAAAGTAAACAAAGTTGGCAAACTCTTAGTTATGCATAAGTTGGCTTCAAGGACCAGCTCCTTTATGAAAACTGTTTTGGTCTAATCCTGAGATAATTGGTCTCACAAAGCATCTTACACATTTCTTAGTTACAGCTCAGTCTCTACACATTCGCTCCCGTCACACCACCCTAAGTATCTATTCTCAGTAATGCAGTCAAAGCAACCTTTAAAAAGTAATTAGATCATATCAGTCTTCCCTAAAAACTCAATGTAATGGCCTCACATTGCACATGAAGTGAAATCTAAACTCCTTATCATGGTCTGGAAGGTAGTCTATCATCTGGCCCTTTCTACCTTTGACCTCATTTCCCCCCACAACCTCTTTATGGCCTATGGCCATATTCCAGACACACTAGCTTGCTTTCTGCTTCTTGAGTAAGTTATGCTTTTGTTCTCTGACCTGTAATTTCCTCCATCTGGTATGTTCTTTTTTCAGATCTTTGCATACCTAATACCTTCTCAATATTTGGGTATCATCTCAAATATTGACTCCTTAAAAGGGTCTTACCTGATCTCCTAGTAGAAGTACTCCATTCCCCATAGAGTTGCTCTCAATCCAATTACTCTAGTTTTTTTTTCCTCTAGCACATATCACTACTTAAAATAATATCATGTATTTGTTTATTATCTGTCTTCTATTTTGTTCCCTGCTATGTCTTTGTGGTACTATGATTTATAATTTGGTCTTTATCCCCATTTTTTGGCACAGAGCTCCTAAAATCCTTGGAATTTTCTAAGTGGTGAGAGAAACAAAAATGTCTTTTGTTATACATAAGCCCCTTTCAAGCCACACCTGAGTATATCTGTAAGGTGACTTTTGAAAAGCCTCTAAGTAAGGGGGCTGGTCGCCAGGGGAACCAACTAAGTGATTAGTGGGTTGGAACTTGTAGGCCCACCCCTAACCTCCAGGGATGGGAAGGGGGTTAGAGACTGAATTCAATCCCCAATGGCCAATGATTAGGGGGCACATAAGTAGACATATTTATGTGTTTGTCATCCTATGTAAGGAAGCCTCAATAAAAAACCAAAATAACAGGGTTGGAGAGCTTCTGGAGAACACAGGGAGGTGCAGGGAGAGTGGTGCATCTGGAGGTCATGACATCTTGTCCTATGTTTCTCTTCCATCTGGCTGTTTTGAATTATATCCTTTTACAAAAATCTGGTAATTGAGTAAGTAAATAGTTTTCCAGAGTTCTGTGATCCACTCTAACAAATTAATTGAATCCAAGGAAGGGATCATGGTACCTCCAATTTATAGCCAGTCAGTAGCACAGGTAACACCCTGGACCTCTGACTGGGGTCTGAAGTGTCTGTTGTGGGGGGCACCTTCAGTGACTGAACCCTTACTCTAAGGGATCTCCAGGTAGATAGCGTTTAGAACTGAGTTGAACTGTAGGACACCCAGATGGAGCTGAAGAATTGCTTAGTGTGTGGGGAACCCATGTATTTGGTGTCAGAAGAGAAGTAGTATTGAATAGAGTGTAGAGTGGGGGAGACACACAGGAGGAGGAGAGTGTTTTCCTTTTACAGGATCCAACACATAAAATGCCCAGTCTGCCTTAGATGTTCAAACACGTTTGTTGAATGAATGAATCATCATATATAATAGTTACTTGTGTATTTTTTTTTTGTCTCTCTGACCAGTCCTGTGTCTGTCTTGAGACAGAGACTTTGCTTTGCTTATTATGTCTGTATCGTCACACAAACTAAGTGGCAGGACTGAAGCACACCTGTGAAAACAGATGGGCCTACTCTTGCAAAGGCTAAAAAATCTCCTCCATTTTCCTTCCTTCAGGTTTCCAGCTCTAAAAGTGGAAGCACAATTTGAGTGGCCCAGCCTCTGCTCCCGGGGAAGGGACTCTAGCATATTATCTGTCAAACTTATTCTCTCTCGCACTTCTCTCAGACAAGGAGATCAATGTGCTAGAGCAAGCAGGGGTGATTAGAGTTGTAGAAATTCTGATGGCTGTTTAGAGGTGTTAATAGACAGGAAGTTGGACAGGACTCTGTAAGCCAGCCACTTCTCCCTGCCCTAAAAATCCACTGTGATGCCAAGATAGAGACCAACTGCAGAAATTAAGGACAGCAGATATATGCATTAATGTGTCCTCCAGTGGACCATCTTAGCTAATTCCTCTACCTAGATTGTGATGGGAATCACTCATACACACAATGATATTATACATATATTTACATGTACAATAGAAATTAGATATATATATAGTAGATATATTTATGTGTTTGTCAGCCTACTCCTGTTAGAATATATACTCCTTGAAGGCAGGGAGTAGGAAGTTACTAATTAATATGGTGGTTAGGTGAGATATCTCTGATATGATGACATTTGAGCAAAGACCTTGATTGGCATATTTATGGTTTAGCAGTGAGGCCGGCATGCTGCAACAGAGTAAGGAGATAGAGGTGGGAAATAACATGGAGAGGTATATATGTGATAGGGTGGGGAGAGTGGTGGTGTATATAACAGACGACCTTGTATGCCACTAAAAAACCACTGGCTTCTCTGAGTGATGAAGGTCAGTTTTGAGCAAAGGAGTGATAAGAGCCAACCAACAGCTACAGGAGCACTCTCAGTCTGTGTTGATAATAGACTTTAGGGGGCAAGGCAGAAGCAAAGGTGACCAGGCGGCTTGCTAGCAAGAAAGCTACTATGACATTGCAGGCTAGAGAAGACTGCAGCATGCACCAGGTGGCAGTGGTGAGTGTGGACAGTCTGATACATGAATACCATGAAGACTGCCCCACCATTGTCAGCTCATTTGAGCTGACACCTCTTGAAGGAAGTGTCATTTACATTTAGAGATGAGGGAACTGAGGTCCAGAGAACTGAAGTGACTTGCCCAAGATCACACAGCTAGGAGACAAGCTGGTACCCTGTCTCTGTCTTTTCCTATTCTAATTTCTGCAGACTAAACCAGGGTTCTCCTCCTCCACCCTGTGGGTACAGCTAGTGGTTACTCTTTGAAGTATGCAGAGTATCTCAGTATGAGAATGACTGAAGTAGGTGAGGCACACCCATAAGAGGCCAGACTAACAAACTGATGCCTAATCATCTTGGGTCAAGAGATAAGACTCAAAATTCTTTAGAGAAACAATTCTAGGGCCAACAAAATAGAATCCTTTTCTAGCCTTATGTGGTTCTTCAGGGTCAAAAGAGATTCAGACCACAGCCTGGCCAACAGACTCACAACATATCCACAGGAGAATGGAGATGCCTGGGAGGCAGTGCCATTCGAGGTGGCCTATCAACAAGCACTCCTAACAGAAACAGGGCTGTGGGGAAGATAGTAACAGTAACTCCCTCATACCTGGGGAGTGATTTGGTTTCCAAAACGATCCTACACCCTGCTTCAATTTGATCCTTTTAACACTCCTGTGGAAACAACATTTTACATGAGAAACCTGAAGACCAGAGGTGAGATGACTCACCCAAGCCTCAGGCTCAGCTTGGCCTCAACTTCAGGGTTCCTTGCTCTCCACTGTGCTGCCTTGCTAGGTTAGGGTGGAGAGGGGCACCCCGGGCTTCCTCCCTTGTCCGAGACTTCCAGAAAACTCTCTCTCCGCCAAGGTCACTTCTTTCCATTGCTCCATCAGGCCTTGATAATGGAGTCTTCTTGTTCTTTCATACCACGAGTCCCTGGGCTGGGGGAGTCTCTGGTGAGTGTATGGAGGTGACATTCTCCTGCCTCCCCATTGTGCGTTTAAACTATCCTCCTATGAAAGCTCACATTCTTCAAAGGCCTCAACATGTACCCAACCATGTGCTCTTCCTGATCACTGTCATGTATTTATCTCTGGGTTTCTATCCCTCGTTAAATGAAGACTTTTTGGTACCTCACCCACTACCTTCTGTTCCACTCCAATTCCTGCTATAATCCTCAGAGGCAATCTATTCAACTACCTTGCCTCCAGGGACTTTCACCTCCATGCTACTTCAAATAGCTACTGCCAAGGCCCCTGTCTAGTTATTGCTGTCACATGGAACAAACCTACTTCAACATTTAACCATCCCATTCTCTAACTTTTACAACTCTCTTGAGACTTACTGTCCACTACAACCATTACAGCACAGAGACGTTTAGCATAAATGTACAGTCTGCACATCCTCCAGCCTCCTCTCAGCCTTGCTTAATTCCACCCTGCTCAGATCCAGTGTGGATTCACACTGCTCTCCCTCTAGCGCCTCTGATTCCTTTACACCTCCCCACTTCCTGCCCCTTTGGTCTACTAGCTCAACATGAGACCTTCTCAAACTATCTTCTCATCCCACATCTAGGTTTCTAAGACCCACAACAGAAGAAAACCAAACTAGTTTCCAAGCATAGCTGGGCCTTTGGTGCTTCTGGCAAACCATTCCTTCTCCTTGATCCATTTCTTCCTGTCTTCTCATGACTAGTTCAACTTTTCAGCACTCCTAAGGCCTTTCTACTCAGCCCGCTCTCCATTCACTCATGGCCACAGTTAATCTTCCCTCCAGTCTCAGAGAACAAGGAGTGCCTCCTTCTGGCTCAAGACTGATCCATCTGTCTGTGTCCTTGATCCCTAATCCTCCCCACCATGATCAAGATCTTACTTTCTCCTCTTTCCTGTATTCTTAATTTCTTCTCTTGGAAGGCTCATGTTGTCTGCTGATAAACATGTCTAGTGTGCTCCCACTCTAGAAGACCTTCTTTTGAAGGTCCTCATCTTTCTTTTTCTCATCAAGCTCTCTGTGATAATCCCACCCACTGCAATCTGCCCTCACCACCCTCCACGACTGAAGCTGCTCTTGCTAAGATCACTACCTATTAATCACCAGAGCCAGTAGCTATTTCTCAGTCCTTATTTTACTGAAACTTTGCTGTGTACTATGATCTTCTTAAAATACTTTCTGTACCCCTGGCCACAACAATATCAAATCCTTCTGTTTTTCCTCACATTTGACTATTCCTTTGTCTCCTTGGTGGGATCCTCTTTCTGTTCCCACCTCCTAACTTTGTTGTTGGTCTGCACTATTCCATCTTTGGCCAACTGTTCTTTTCATTTTACATATACTTCTGGGAAGTGGGTTTCATTTGCCCTACAGCTTCAACTGAATTCTGTGTGCTGATGACTCCCAAATGTTTGATTTCAGCACAGTCCTCTTCCCTGAGAATTAGGCCTTTTGGGTAAAACTGTACCATTTCCAGAGTATCTCGCCTGGCTTTAGTGGACTTGCATATCCTCTGGCGTGGAGAGAAGTTCATCTCCATGTCAATGGGAAATTACCTGGGCAACCGAGGGCGTGTTTGAACAGGAGAGTTTAAAGGGAGGGGCTGGCTGGCTGGTTTGCTTGCTTCTTCCAGAGGAGAGGAGAGAGATGACCCTGGACTGCAGTTTGTAAGCAATAAATGGGTTTTAAACTTTATTTCTCCCTTTGACTGATTTCGGTTTTTAGAGGTATTTTGGTCTGGGATTTCCTCTCCCTGGACTTCCAGGCCTGCATAGCCACTCTTGCAGGATATCACCTAGATGGCCCCTGGGCTCCCTCGCCTTCCTTCTGTTCTATGGTTGGTTCCCTCTCTCAGTGAATGGCACCACCGTCTATCCAGTTACCCCATTAGAAACCTGGGAGACATTCACACTCCTTCCTTCTGCATAATCCTCAAATCTGACCAAACTCACCTTATGGACAGTTTTCACATCTATTCTTTTGTCAACAAACCTTCTACCACTGCCCTAATCCAGGCTTTTATCCCTTTCAGCCTGGCCCATTTTGGTAACCAGCAAACTGGTCTCTCTAGTATTGTCCTTCCTTAAATCCACCCTCAACAAAGTAGTCAATGATCTACTGAAAACACAGACCTATTTAGGTCTTGCTTCTAATGAAAAGCCTTCAGCTTTGCATTGCCTACACAATCAATTCCAAACTCTTTACCATGGCATTTAAGGTCTTCTGTGACATAACTCCTGACCTCTCCAGACTTTTTTTCTTTGAAGCCCCAGTATTCATTTTATGCGTCAGCAATACCAAGCTGCATGTATTTCCCGGTACAATATGTGCTAGGTCTTATCCGTTGTGCCTTTGTTCATGCTGTATTCTCTTCCTCATGCTACCCAAAGCGTATCTCTGTTAACTATACTCAAGATGTTTCAAAATTATCTGCTTAAGTGTGTTTCTCCCATAAGAGTGGGAGCTCCCAGAGGACAAGAAGTGACTGGTTTTTACATCCCTGTGCCAAACACAGATGGTGCCCATGAATGGTTAATGAATGAATGGATGAATTCCTCCCTGTCCCTTTGGCTCCAGGTCTGTGGTTTCTATTATTCTCAAGCCAATTGCAGAGCTATAGCTGGTGCCTAACTAGGTGCCCAATGAGGCAAAATTGTAAGCTCAGACCCCTGGTCAGAGGGCAACAGAACTGTTTCCCTGGCCTCCCAGAGCTCAGGAAGGAAGGAAAGGGAGGGCCAGAGCTCTGGTAAACTTACCCCTGGAGCACAACCTGCGCACAGCTGAGGCAGTGCTCAGTGGGAGGCCACAGGGTGGAAACAAAGGCCGGTACCCAGGGGTTCGAAGATTTTGCGGGGTGTTGACAAGGTTGGTGGAATTCAAGGCAGAGTCCATTGAGTCTGAGTGGGGCTCCAAGGACCGGGCCAGACTGTTCCCCAGAACAAAGGTTTCACCTGAAAAACAGTAAAACCAGAGTTAGAGCAGGGATTAGCCTGGACGGACTCTTAGGATGGTGGCTTCCCGGTACCTGTTTGGGTTGAGCAAGAGGCAGCAAAACAGAAAGCTGTGGACTGAGTTTCAGGAGGCGTTTCGTGGCTCTGGCTCTCAGTAGGTGGCCGCAGTGAAGCCCAGTGCTACTCAGGGATGTGGATCTCCTTGGAGACTCTTACTCTTAGACTAGATAGTCTTTGAGGTTTCTTCTGGTCTGGATGTCTTATCCTTTTTCTGGATAAGGAAAAGCTTAAAAATAGAGCTATTTTAGGAAGAGGCTGCCTTATATATAAGATGCTAGAGCAGTGAACAGGGAGCTGGAGAAGTGATACATTTGCTTAGATGAAGGCTCATCTCTGAAATGGAGATGAAGCCAATCCACTCAGCCAGCAGGACATCTAAGACTGCTTCTTGATGTCTGGTTAAAGGCCTGTCTGCAAAGGATCTGCTCCTTTGTTCCCTCCCTCCTTTCATATTTGCCTTCTACAGAAACATTTGAAGGAAGCTGGGGTTATACAGTGGTGAGAGCATGGACACAGAGGCCAGAATCTGGGTTAGAATTTGGCTCTGCCATTCAGCAAGCAATGGTGCTCCCCTCAGAACCTCTGTCTCCTCATCTATGACATGGGAAGCCCCTTTCTTGCAAGGGGCTTGGGAATATCAAAAGAGAATGGCTATGAAAGCTTTTGTGAAGGGAATCTCACTTTGACATTTCTACATGCAAGCCATGGCCCAAAGCTACACAGCGGCCCCTACCCACTGCACGGCAGAACCCGAGGCAGACTCTGAGTGCATTCTACTCCCATCACGTCAGTTCCTGAGCCCTGGCCACAGCATTCTCTGTTTATGGGAGGTGTCTTGGGTGCTGTACAATACCACTTCCTTTGTGTTTTTTCTTAGAGATCAAGTATTTAGATAATGCTTGGGATTCATTTAAGGCCTCTGGTGAACACTAAATCAAGCACATTTTCTGGCATACAAAAAGACCTCTGGGGCAAGATGGATTTTAGGATTTTAGGACTACTTTCTAATACTCGCCTAAAATTGCTTGGTAACCATGGTCTTAAAGTCAGATTTAGCATGAGACAGCTATTTGCTCTTACCTCAGGGAGTTTAACTGATGAAGCCCTTCCCTAGAAATGGTTCTGAAGAGAGAAGTCTGTAAGGCTCCAGGATACCTAAAATATATCCCACCCCCTTTCTTCAGATGAGGTTTCACATTCCCATTTCCCAGGACAGGTGCCCATAGCAGTGTTCCATGTGGGACACAAGAACAGGAACTCATTCCAGGAAACAGGAGGCCTGAGTCCTATGCCTGGGCTCCTGCCTTGCACTAGGTATGTGATCCCAGGCAAGTTGTTTGTCTTCTCTAAGCACCAGTTTCCTCATCTGTAAAATGGAAAAAAAAAATCACCCTCTGTCATGCTGAGAACATGAAATGAGAAAATAGAGCAGGATGGACTTTAAAAAGTGGGGAATTGTCATTTTATTCTCTATTCAGAGTTAGAGTGGCAAACCTATGTTCTCTACAATAGCTCAAGAAAAAAGATGAAATCTACTTTCTGCATTTATATAACCTCACCTTTCTAGTCCTCATTTTACTCAACAAAGCTGGGGGATACTATCACCTGCCTCATGTGATCTAATAAATGTGAACAATGATTATGATTACGATGCCAGGGGCTCACCAGATGCTGATGCAAATCAGTAAGTATCTCTTTCTCTCAGCAATGATAAGCATGGTAACTGAGATATGGATCTGAAAATCCAAACTGGTGGCACCTGGACTAGGCAGTATCATTAGATCTTATCCTAATGCTATGTAGTGGAAAAATGAAGCATCATGCCTAGGGCTTTGGGAGGTACTACCCTGCTTAAGGCCTATCAAATGAGGCCCTGGCTGCCTTCAGTAGGATAATGCCAGGGTAGAGGACTGCAGTGCTTTCAAACTGTACTCCACAGAGCCCTGGGGGCCCCAGAGGGAGGCCAAGTGAGCAGGGGTCTGGGCTTCATACCAGCCTCTTTCAAAACAGCTCTGATTTTAATTTTTATACGCCAGGCTTTATATAATCTTACCTTTGCAGAAAAGCAGTTCTATTGCTAGGACAAAACAAACTTTGAGACCACTGGCCCAATAGTCAGAAGTTGGGGCTGGAAGACTTGAATTCTATTTTTGGCATGATCATTACTCAAGGATCACTGCCTCTTTTCTGGGATTCAATCTGCCCATTTATAAAATGGAGATAAAAACCCTTAACCTTATAGGATCAATGTAAATTAAATTTGCTGTTGACATGCTGGAGATGTAAGAACACTCAGCATGGGAGGGAGGTCATTCACTCATTCAGCAAACATTTGTTGAGCACCCTTTGTGTGCTAGCAACTATGCTAAGTATGGGGTATGCAAAGGTAAACAGACAGATAGGGACCTTGCCCTATTTTCTGTGGGAAGCAGATCTTCTCTGTGTATCACATTGCAAGGCTAACCTTAGAAAATAGAATTCTCAGAGGAGGATGACCAAACTGGAGGTGGGAGACCTAGAAATCATGGCAAAGGCAAAAGAGCCTGGAAGTACACAGCCTGGAGAAAAGTCAGGGGAGACAAAGACCCTAAGGGCAGTCATGGGAAGAAAAGAGGAATGGAGGTAAATTTATTTTCTTGGAAGGCAGAGAGTAGAACATGAGGCAGGAGTTATATAAAGGCAGATTTCAGCTCAAAAAGGAAGGTATTTTTAGCAATCAGAAGTGTCCAACAGTAAAATCGACTACCAAAGATGATAGTGATTATTAGGAGTTTTTAAGAAGATGTCAGATGACAACCTTTGTTGGGCTAGACACTAAATCATCTCTAGGGTACTTTCCACTTCTGAGAGTCAAGGACTCTGTGCTTACAATTACGCTTTCCCCTTTATGGGGTGAAATAAATGACCAAGAAACTAGAGCTATGAATCTAAGAAAATTCTTACACCAACACAGGGCCTAAAGACTAGCACAGTTCTTATGCATGCCTAAGTCTATCTCATGTTAAAAAAAAAAAAATCTCTTTCTGAACTCCATGTCCCATATCCTTTATCATCTTTTCATTTAACAAATATTAAATGAAACATATAGTAACAAAGTGTTACTATATGACACTTAGGGTTATGATTACTGAGAATGGTGAAAATGATAGACAGCACTCCTCTCCTCATGGAGTATTTAGTTGAATGGTAAGGGTGACAAAATATAAGCCGATAAAAAAAACTTTTACAAAATTAGAAAATTCTGCAAAATTAGAGATTTTATAAAACATTGCAAATATTACTAAGAAAAGGAATAGGGTATTAAGAAAGAAAATATCAGGGGACTTTTTTTATATGAGAGGTGTCCCTGACAGTTTGATGTTTAAGCTATGATCTGAAGAAGAGTCCAGGTGGAGGCATGGCAGAATATGTGCTTGGTTTCAGAGTTCTTTGGGGGCCCTAAATGAATCCCAAGCATTATCTAAACATTTGCTGTCTAAGAAAAACTGCAATGGAGAGGAATATGACCCAGGACCCAGAATACTCCCTACATGGAGAGAATTCTATGGGAAGGGATAAGGAACTGACTTGGTTTGGGTAGAACTTAATCATAGAAATGGATCTGCTGTGGGTTTCTCTGGCATAATGGCTAGGGGCTGCTGCTGGCAGCATATAAAAAAGCCCTGAGGGTTAACAGCCTAAATATATAAAGAACTCACACACCTCAACACCCAAAAGGCAAATAACCCTATTAAAAAATGGGTGGAGATATGAACAGACAATTCCCCAAAGAAGAAATTCAGGATGGCCAATAGGCATATGAAAAGATGCTCCACATCTCTAATTATCAGGGAAATGCAAGTTAAAACCACAATGAGGTATCACCTCACACCAGTTAGGATGGCCAACATCCAAAAGACTAGGAACAACAAATGCTGGTGAGGATGAAGAGAAAGGGGAACCCTCCTACACTGCTGGTGGGAATGTAAACTAGTTCAACTATTGTGGAAAACAATAGGGAGGTTCCTCAAAAAACTAAAAATAGAAATACCATTTGACCCAGGAATTCCACTCTTAGGAATTTACTCAAGGAGAACAAGTTCTCAGATTCAAAAAGACATCTGTACCCCTATGTTTACTGCAGCATTATTTACAATAGCCAAGATATGGATATGGAAGTAACCTAAGTGTCCATCAGTAGATGGATAAAGAAGATGTGGTACATATACACAATGGAATACTATTCAGCCATAAGAAAGAAACAAATTCTACCATCTGCAACAACATGGATAGAGCTAGAGGGTATCATGCTCAGTGAAATAAGTCAGGCAGAGAAAGACAAATGCCAAATGAATTCCCTCATTTGTGGAGTATAACAATGAAGCAAAACTGAAGGAAAAAAATAGCAGCAGACTCACAGACTCCAAGAAGGGGCTAGTGGTTACCAAAGGGGAGGAGGGGTGGGGGAGGGTGGGTGGTTGGGGAGGGGGAGAGAAGGGGATTGTGGGTTATCATGATTAGTGCACATGGTGTGGGGGCAGGTCACAGGGAAGATAGTGTAGCACAGAGAAGACAAGTAGTGACTCTGTGGCATCTTACTATACTGATGGACAGTGACTGCAATGGGGTATGTGGGGGGACTTGATATTAAGGATGAATGTAGTAACCACATTTTTTTTCTTGTAAAACCTTCATAAGAGTGTATATCAATGATACCTTAATAAAAAAAATGAAGGAAAGAAAAAAAAAAAGAAAAGCCCTTGTGGTAGAAAACAGCTTGTACTATTCAGGGAAATGGGGGAATAAGAGTGTAGCTAAGATGTACAGAACCAAGGGGTGAATTTGGATAGGTAAGCAAGGACCAGATCATGCAGGACATTGCAAACCAAAGACAGAAACCTGGATTTTATTATAAGTACATTAGAATGTAACTACAGTAGTGAGTGGGAGAATGTCAAACT